GACTAAATTTTTACTCGGCCGTTTTCGATAATATCCGTCACCGTAAACATAAGATACCTTTTCAACCCGCGAGACGACTTTTAATACGCCATATAGAATATAAAAACAAAATTTTGAAATTTGTGGCATGGAATAGTTCTGCACCAAGGTGACGACACAATTTTAACATTTTTTATTTACTGATTTCTCGATGGTTTCGATACCAGAATTTACCGGGTTGATTTTTACGATTTGGAACACGCTTTTACTTTTAAGGTATCCAAATAATGATGAACGATCTACTTATTATCGGTAATTGCCGTTGGACGGTCACCGGGATTATAGTATGGAACAGATTGGAAGGGGTGTTGAGATGAAAACGTTAGGGAGAGGATCTATATTGCGCCGATTTTCGAATCCTAGCGGTATTCTCGAATTTCAATATTTACAACTCGGATCTGGGAGTCGGGATCGAAACCATTGGAATTGGTTCCTCCATTTACTTCTGTATTGTCGTTCCTTTAGAAAGACTCGTTTAGAACCGATCCAGCTCTAGTTCCAACAGATATGGATGATTTTCAGGGACTGATTGATCATATTATGTTGTTGCTGTTCTTGAAAAATATCGAGACAATGTTACGTATGGATGATTAAAAATGTAGGACCGGGCCTGGGCGTGAGGATGGAAAGGTCCGAACGGAGGGACGGATGGCTGGTGCGTGAGGTAGCGTGCCCAAACTGGCAACCGTGGCACGGGTAAGTCGCCCGCCCACCCGGCAAAGTGTGACAAGTTCGGAAAGTAGGTCGCACTGAGCAGCCAAACATTCCCGAAGGATCAGCGCGGCAGGCGGCTCGCGGGAGCGGAAAGAAGATAGAGGAGAGGGGATGCCCGCCTGCCTCTCTCCTGCTTTGCCGTCTAGGGCTCCATTGTTCGATGCTGCTGCTACTGACGACCCCCTCGCAGGGGCTACGATTGACGCAATTGACACCCGCTGATGACGTCAAATCATCCCCATTGCTGAGTGTTAATCAATTATTAGGCACTTGCTGGAAATGCTGATGATGCTTGGGGTGGTCAAAATAAATAACGTATTAATGTGACCACGTCATTGTAGTCTTAACTATAATACATGAGAGTGAATCCCTACTAATATTATAAATAAAAAAGTTTAGATGTTTGTTACTCAATCACGCCAACACGGCTGAACAGATCTGGATGAATTTTGGTATAGAGATAATGTTATAGTCTGGTATAGAGATATGTTCTAGTCTGGAATAGCACATAGGCTACCTTTTATCTCGGTAAATAACTTCTAAATAGCTATTTCACGAGCTACATACCAGTCGGCTTAATGGAATTTGACAACAATAGTCCGACGCGGAGGCGCTCAGTTGCTGGTCCGACCGAAATGAATGAGGGTATATTAATAGAGCATTTGCACCATACAGTTACTACAGTTCGACATTCATTTTCTTGTCGTGATCGTCTTGATTTAGATTTGCGTAGTGCATTGCTTTACTTCAAGTATACTCTGTTTTGTTTCTGTATGGTTTTTTCTAGAATTTTTTAAGCATAGGTACAAACTTATATCGTTAAAATGTTTAAGTTCAATGGGACTTAATATTTTGAGGTATAAGGTATAATTAAAGCCGACTACCACTGTTTAGGGTGATATTCTTTTGCCAAACAAAAATTGATTATGTGAGTGATATGAAAGAAAGTTATAGAAAGACTTACGTTGATCATTGTGATAGTGTCAACTCCCTTAGAGGTTCCTTTAAGCTCGTCGACAGATTAATTTTATTATTCTAAAACTTCTCTTAGAACGTTTTTTCCAAAAAAATGCGTGGTTACTAATTTTTGCGAGGTGTTCTGGTATTTCATATACCGTCAGTGAATATACTCGTAGGCAAATTCGACGATGAGTTTGCTTTTAAAAGCATGTCTATAGCCTACCTCGGGAATAAATTAGTAAGTGTACAAATTTTTACGTCTGTTCGTATTGTCGTTCAGACGTGAGATTCTGACAGACTGGAGAAACATTTACATTTATATATTGTTGCATTCAAATTTTGAATAGAAAAAAATCTATTTCCAAGTGCATTACTTCGGATATTGTATTTCGCCCAAACTAATGCAAGACGTATGACCTTACACAACTTTTACGCGAGCGGAGCCGCGGGCTTAGGCTGGTATTTAGTAGTTATCAAAAGATTTCGAATAAATAAATAAATAGAGTTTATTCCTAACAGTTGAGGTAACCATTTACAGGTTTATTTATTATACGAAAAATGCTATTAAACTCATATGGAGTGGCATCTAAAGATAATTCGTATGAAAGAGAGGAACCGCAAAATATTAAAAAGATTCAGCATCTTGCTAAATTACACGTAACGAATACAGTGGCGAGACAGTAGAGTTCATACGTTTTTGCATAAAATGACTGAAAGACTGCCATCTTTGACATTTGACGCCCAGATAAGCACACAAATCATTCGCTCAATAATGAAGCAAACTCAAAACTGTTTGATTGATCGCTAACATGATAGCGGCAATTAGAACATTATTGATAGATATATTCCTTATTTGCTATTAAACAAAAATCACAATCACATTTTTATGAAAATCTAGTATGTAAAGGGTAATTATTGATTTTCCTTATTTCCCTTGAAATCCCCACTGTAGATCTCGGGTGGGGGAGTAGGAGGAATTGCGTAGTAAGAAAATTGGAAGGTTATATTGTAGACGAAGCGAGGGGAGATAAAGGATAAAGGGCGTCACGATTGCTTTTTATTATTTGCCAGGGTTGCGACGGATGCGGTGACATCACACGAAATGCTGATTTATACGGATTAAGGATAATTCCAGAATTCCCACACTGCGGTATATTTCTCCTGCAAAAAATGGCGTCAAGTAGGTTGACCCTGCACTTGCTACGCAACGTTGTCATCAGTTCATAAATGATTAAGTTCAGCACATCTTAAATCCTCTGAAGACAGAGTCAGTTACGAACATGTACAAAGGGGAATTAAACGGATCAAGCCAATCAAAAAGCCCCATACAATGGGTCCATAGACATTCTTCCTCTGCCCTACCGGCAGTTCCTGTCCATCAGGGAATGCTGTCCGTTTTCATATTTGCGCGGCAGCGCTCATAGCGGCACCGCTGCAGCGAGTTATTGTACATTCGGTCTATATGTTTTGTGCGCCAGTTATGATGGATTAGTCAGCCGGACCGGTACGCTGGGCTTTAATAGCAGGTGTAGTTTTAAAGGCAACAATAGGTGAATAGAATTAACGGAATTAGGGGCGTATAAATATACTAACGATAGCTCCGCCGCAAGTGGACCTAAAACTACAAAGCTTTTTCTTCTTTGGCCTAATATTGACCTTGTTCAATATCCAAAAACCATAATATAACACAGTTTAGCCGGCGGCATAGGAAGTAAAAACAATGTCTAAACAAGAAGTCCTACGAGTATACAATTCAAATGTTGTTATAATATAGTATTTATAAACCAGTCACTTCATTCAAAAGTAACAGAAAATTTCTTTGATACCAGCCTTTATTATTCCATTACGTAGGAGAGGTTTTTTGTACGAATTATCTCAAATAGTCAAATCAATTTTCTTTTCTTGCTGAAAGTGTCAGTTCCGCACTCGACTGCTGGCCGAAGTATAACTGAAAATAACTATTATCTCGATTTCTAAATTATAATTTTATCAGATATATCTTAGTTAAGTTATTGCCACTGCTTTTTAAATCACCATATGTTAACAAAAAGAATTTAAAGTCCTATTTTTTACCCTGCACAAGTATTGTTGTTCGTTACTCAGATCAACGTTTGTTGAGTCAGAAATTGGAAAATGGTGGGTGAAATAAATGAATTAGCTTCACAGTTGTTAACTTTTGAATTCGCAAGAGCGCCAGAGCTAAAAAGTTTACCGTGGTTCACAATCGAATTATTCCATTCGGTGGTTTGTTCACAAAGGAAATACGTTTGGGAAAGTTCTTGCTGCGTTTGCTTTCCTTCTCTTGATGAAGGTAAAGCAAAGTCATATTTAATTCAATTGTGTATTTCATTTTATCACCTGGTAGTGCGATTTACCTGTCGATTTTTTTACACCTCAATATTATCATGAAAATGGGAAAACAAGATCAGTGGGCTATGCCTAGGTTTAATATAGGACTCAAAAACCTAACCTTTGAGCAGTGTCAAAAAACAAGTCACGTTCAAGTTCATAGTAGCTGCGGTTCCTTATTATGATGACAACTTATTTGCGTTGACAGTTTTGCCTCATACCAATGTACAGGGGTGCTTTAAAAAAAAGAGACCTTATCCGATCGAAGACCTCCTCATTGCCTGGCATGATAATTAACTTCAAGTCTTCCTTATTTTAGTAATTTCCTTTGAAGCACGTCTAATTAAAAATCAATAATCAGAGATAATAAGAAGGCATCAGATCTACCACATCCAGGTGACAGGATAAGTAAGGCGTCCTGAGAATAAATAAGGCTGAAGGAACAATGTGCTTTCGATTCGTAAAATCGTAAAATGTTATTGACGTGTTTTTATGTGTCAAGTGTACAAAACAACTTTTGATAAATTCGAATTAATTCACTGGTTGACTGAAGTTTACAAACGAAAAGCGCCGTGATTCTGTCGCCGAGCGCTTTTCAAGTGTTTTTTTAAACAAAGCAATAAATGAATCTTATCGCTAGCACAGTGCAGTAATTCAACAAATTACGTGGAATAAAAAACAACAAAATGCGATAAATCTCTGGTACCTGCAACAAACATGCAGTGCAGGAGGCTGCCGCATTTCATAACATTTTATGGACGTGTATGTTCAAGTTACGCAACGTGTAAGTTCGCTTATTAGATTTTATGCTTCCGTTTTGCAATAGCTTCATTTTTATGGTGTGGCGGGGAAGGCCTTAACAATGACATTGAATTGAAGTAACTATGAAAATTACATTGACAAGACCAGTTGAATTTTAGTACCAACCAGCCAGTGTCGTTATATTGAATGTATTCATATCGACATACTAATACGAAGTTATAGAAGCCAAATTGTGAAACAGAATAATGAGTGTTCAATGTATCAAATTCCAAGGTGAATTCAATGCAAGAGCTTATGGAGGTCCCAAACATAGGCGCCCACAGAGGAGGGTGTTACCGGCCGAACCCAAGAATTAGCATATTTAACTTGTTTGTGTATACAATTTTCAAGATTTTTGAGAATTGGTTCCCACCTCCGAGAAGATTTATAATTTGCTGCGCTCGCTCTTCAAAAAGCTTCAAAAGTTTCACTTTATACTTAAAAACGGTTGAATATTGGTGAGGTGTAATCCCTGAGAAAAACTCCTGTAGGCGGCCATGCGCTCAAGCAACCTATTTTTTATCTCAAATATGACCACATCATGTTTCACGATTTTTTAAATTCACTCGTAAGAATAGGAGACAAACATGGAAAATTTACCCTACAAAGTCGGATTAATGTTCTGAAGTTTCCCGCGAGATAATTTTCAAAAACCTCTGAATATCTGTGACCTGAGGGAAAACTTCCAGGTGAATCTGTAGCGACACTTGTGAGAGGCCATGTCCTTTGTAAGACCGATTATATTAAAAAGTCGTAGCGATTCTCTTCACACTTACACCCATCGAACGCAAGAACACAACACAAAATTATATTTTATTTTGATATTTCTCATGGCAAAAATGTAAAAAACTTTATACAATATTTAAATAAAAATTGTTACTAACAATATTTTTCTATTGTTTCAGAACACGTATCTGTAATATCAAAATCTAGAAGCTAGTAAAAGAAAACTCGAAGAACTCGTAACCGTAACCAAAGAAACGAAGAAAGAAGAATAAGAAAGATATAGATGTGTTAACGAAGAAACTGCTGGAGCAAGAAGCAAAATTCAAAATCATCGCGTCAGGATGCATATTGAAGTGCAAGTTGCGCTGAATTTCGTGATATCGTACCTGTACAACAAACTGCCCAGACGGAGGGTCAATATTTTCGGAGAGGAGCTCGAAAAAGCGTTAAAAGACAAATTTCAGGTCAGTTGTACATATTTATAAATATAATTCAATGTTATTGCCCTGTAAGAATCGCTTTGACCGCAAAAATAAATTTCACATATTAAACAAAATTATGATACTTCAATGCGTACAAAGTAGGACTCTCCCTCATTGTGTCGTCATAGCGGCCAAACCAGCATACGTAACCAAACTTACCCATTGAAATATTAATTTTAGCGTCCGTCACCACTGGTCACCACGTCAGGGTGCCGCTATATATTTCAATAGGTCCAGTGAGTAAGGGTCCTTAGATACTGTAGTAACTATGTGTAGCAGGTTATGTTGGAAAATATTTGCGATAGTTCCATGAAGAGGCAATATATTCCACCGCGAAAGTAAGCGTATTCAGATATTGACAAAAATACTAAGGATTTTTTTTTTGTAAAGTGTAAGGTTCTAACTTGAATAATCAATGTTTCACAGAATTTCTGGAAACAATAAAGAACTATTCCTATTCATTTATTTGTTGGATGAATGTTTTTTATACAAGTAATATCACTGATAAGACGCTAATGCTGTCGCTCAAAAAATCTTGCACTTGATTCTTGATGACAGTTTATTAATTTATCATCTGCCAAGGAATTATCGATATAAAATATTAATTTGTATTGTCGAATATTCTTCTTCGTCCATCGCTATCTGGAAAAATCCAATCAGGAAGCTACTAGATAAAGGGTAGCCCATTTATAGCATAATTTAAAAAAACTGTTTCTGAAGAGAGAGATCAAATTCTTTTTGTAGACTTAACGGATTAGTTTCTATTCGTAAATAAGCAGTTTTTGTGGTAGACGGGGTAGTCGCATTACAGTGTGTAAGTAGTGTGGGGTGAATTCAGACAGCTGTCTTTGGCATTTATTGTATTAAAGTTGTAATGCTACAGTTTTAAATGCACGTAGTCGTAAAAATATTTTTTCAGTCTGTGCCTGTGAAACATTGGTGGATTTTGCCTTATTGCTGTTTCTGCTGCCCTGATTTGAACAGATGCACTATCTCGTGCATAAACAATTGAAGTATCCACTAATAACAAAAATAGTAGGGCTTAGATCTGACATCGTGAACTATTGTGCTACAGACACCTGAACTCCTGGACATCACTTGAAACGTTGCCGGAAATAATATTTAGCGTTTTTTTTTTTAATTGAGGCATTCATTCCTGTGCATTCAAGGGATAATTGCTCCAATAATGAGAATTGAATGACCCCACAGTGGCTGATTTAGGGATGGGAGCAGCGGTGGTCGCAGTATTCATGCTACCGGCGATTAAAAATTGAAGAGCGGGTGGAAGGGGGTGGCAGCTCGGATGTAGCAGTGTCTTGTGATAGTTGAAGAACAGGTAGTGGCTTTGGCGGCCTCTGGCCGATCTTGATTTGCCCAATGAAGTCCATAACCCGTTCCCTGGATCCGCACTTGCTTCAGCCTCAAGGTTACGAGTATGTCAAGGACGAACAAGCTTTGTAGTTCATGAAAGTCGGTCCAGTGGCGGCGGAGACAAAGTCCAGAAACGAAAAGATAATTTGAAATGAGATAGTCGCTGCTTCTCAAGAATAGTGACACTATCCAAAAAAAAGAGAAGAATTAGTTGAAATTGCAGATCCACTCCAAATGTTGACTATTTTATCAGGAATAAAGACATTTGCAATTGTCTCAAAGTTTTCGCCAGAGATGACGCTAATGTTGTTGTTCGTTAATATCGAATGTTTTGGGGTTCTCTCATGAATAATGTCATATTGCAGTTGCGGCTTGACTTTCAAAGCGTTTACTTACATTTTTCTCAAGAATGACGTCATATTAGAGCAAAGTACGCTAATAACCGATCGTGTTAATCAAGATTAGTGACATAAAGTGCATTATGACTATCTTCCACAAGATAAAAATTCGGAAAATGAGTCTTTCAAACTACCATATGTGAAATTAATACGGGTAGAATCTCAACATTCTGAAACATTTTTCTACAAGAACTCATACAGTGTCACTGATTTTCGTAAAGTTGGTGTAGATAATAAATCGAAGCAACAAAAACGGGTCCTAGAGTTACTCTGAATAAATCATACAAACGTAAGATTCTCTTATCCAAGAAAAAGAAAAGCGCCATGCTTAATTTAGTAAAAAAAATGTAGTACCGTCATACTATGAGGGATTTTACAATAATTTGTAACCAATTTTTGTATTTTACTTCTTTTTTTCTGCACTTTCCTTTGATTTTTTGGTTCCACGTCTTTTAAATGTTGTTAGTTGTGTATCATTGGTAGCAATACTAAAATAAATGTTCCCCCTTTGTTCTGTAACCACGAATTATTTGTCATATATTTTTTAGCAAAGCATTTTTTTTGGATTAATTACACATTCCTGTAACGTTGCAAAAAGTTATAAAATGGGATATTTTTGGAAACATACTGATCTTTTATTCAATGAATCTGAAAGTTCAATAAACCTTATTTGATTGATATTTTTTCTTTATCCAAATTATTATCTTTCTTCTGTCTTCATAAAATGCATCTCCTGAAAAAAAGCTTTTTTTGAATAGTGTCAATATTCTTGAGAAACAGCGATACGTTCTGTATTACAAAAAAAAATTGTAGTACTGTAAATGGGTCATGCCGCATAGGTATCTAAATGATCTAAAATTGTGTATGCACAAAGCATTTTTCTACGGGCATCAACTTTAGCGTTTCAAGATTTGTGCGAAAAATTGTTGAAAAGCTGAATTGCTGTATCTTCATCTAGCAATCTAGTTCATACAAGAAATCATAGGAAAGTGCAATAACAATTTTAATTAAACTGAATCATGGCCACGCTTCCGCATATCAGGACTTTTTAAGAAATAATCCTTCCATCTGGGTACTTAGTATTTAGTATACAAACTGTTTTCGTTTCAGTTTTCACCGAATATATCCGATAATATTTCACTTTATCAACTCCTATGCAAAGTATTAGCATAAAATGGAAAACAAATCTGAACTTACCAGTTGGCACCATTTTGGTATCTCCATATGCATCTAACTCCCCTTAGAACCCAGGTGGATTTTAAACTTTGCATATTTCGCATGACTTGTGGACAATTCTGGGCATTTGTATTTACTTTGAAGATTTTCCGATAAAATCATTAGAAAGTCATGCTGCCGAAAAAGATCCCGACCGTACGAAGATCCCGGTGTAATTATCCAAAATAATTGAAGCAAACACTTTTCCTATCCATTTGTGTCTTCACGCTGGTATCTGAAATTAAGGGTAGTGGCTGGAAATAAATGTTATCAACACTTGACTGGAAAAGTGCATGTTATTTCTCATAGTTGCAACGCACTGTTAACCTTTTACAATGGCCGATCGCAAATAACAGTTTTGCCACACTAAAGGGACAAAGTAATAAAAATGTTCGATATTAGCAACAAATTCAAAAATGTTTTCAATTTTAAAAATAGTGTTTGAGCTTATAATTATTCGTTGACACATCATTCTAATCCTGTTCGATAGGCGGTGGTTAACGGATTTTGTTCCTCTAGCTTCCACTACGAATTTTAAATCTGCGAGACGGATCTGCCAGGCTTTTGCTTAAGTTTATTTAATATTATCAAGGCGAAAAAGAAAAATGTCGAAATTTTTTCTACCTTGATTTTTGTTTCAGGGTCATTGGTACCCGGAAAAGCCGTTCCGCGGGTCCGCGTTCCGTTGTCTAAAGACCGGTTCCCCGGTGGATCGTGTCCTCGAACGTGCAGCCCGCGAGAGCGGTGTACCCGTCGAGGATGTCCTTGAAAACCTGCCCAGGGAATTGGCTGTATGGGTGGACCCAGGGGAAGTGAGCTATCGCATCGGTGAGAAGGGGCTGGTGAAGGTGCTGTACAGCGAAAAGGCAGCAGCGGCGGCGGCTGCGGCGGCAGCTGCTGCGGCAGCTGTAGGAACCGCCCAAGGGCTCGTCTCCGGCGGGATGGCTCCTCCGCCACCGCAAGACCAATGCACTCAAAGACACCAGAGGCCGGATGATCTTATGCAAGAGGATAGGGAGGTAAACCAATTTCGTTTTTCCATCTTGCTGTTAAAACATGCTTTTATTTGAAAACTTGAGATGAAGGAGTTTCATTATCGTTTAAATATTTCCAAATCTTTAGTTCATTAGATGGTTAGATAGTTATTGATCACATTTCAGGAAATTAATACATGTGACAAGTCAAAGAAGGAAACAATGATTGATACATAAGACATATTAAAAATTACAATTAAAAAAAAGTAAGACCGACACATGATAATCACAATGTCACGTGCCAAAATCACGTAACATTTTTTCTACTATTTATCACTTATCCGTAATTTGAATTTCTCTTCATTAATAATAGTGCCCATTCCTAGGCCAAACCCTTTCCAATGATTTTCTTTTGGCAAATTTAATAGTGTATTGTATAATTTCACTCGTATTATATCTTTCTTTCTCAGCGATTCAGTTTTTCTCCGTTAGTTGCTATAAAACATATCTTCTTCAAGGCCACTCAAGATACCTGCTTCTAGAACGTTGCGTGTTCTGCGTGATTCGCTTTTCTGTTTCCGTTGAGGTGGTCGTTTCGTCATTTTCCGGACTAGCACCCTTTTTTTGTGTAACTTAAGTCATTTTGGTTTGGGTGCTACGTCTTCCATTTTTTTATGGGATTTTGACCCTCAGCGTCAATAGAAACAGAAGAGAATCATCATCCTTTCTCCTAGAGTTGGTTGCATCTTGTTGCAGTTTTTCAAATTGGTGGAAGCCATCCCCTTGAAAAATAACCCTTATGTGAACAGGGTTTTTTTGTTATTACCATAATTTTTGGCAACGAGGCAAGCAGCCCCTGCCCAGTGACGTGGCCACTACTGGCCACTTTTTGACCAGAGTTGAGGACATCTAGGCCGCGCCTGACAAAGAAGACCTACAGAAAAGTTTAATATTTAGGCGCAAAATATCTGTAAATACTTCGGGCGTATACCATGGTAGTCGTTTCGCGGGTTTATCTCGAAAAATAATTTTGTCAGGTTGTTTTTAAGATTTATAACATCCTTTCTTTTTTTTATTACTTGCACTCCAGTAGTGGAGCACATGTGCTTTTTTTATTAATCAATATATTGTGATTCATTTAATATCTTGTTTTATCTGGCTCTCGCTCTCTCTCTCTCTCTCTCTGTGTACTGTTACTTAAATTCCCTCATCTCTGTTAGATTCTCCTTTTGTGTGGTGGTCAAGCAAAACAAGTTCCGACTAACATCTTGGGGAGCTGTGGCTTAATCCGTCCTAAGTCACTGGCGCTCTTAACCCCCCCCCCCCCCTACTCTCCGCTTTATTAAGCTAGCGCATAAATTTACACGCCACTAGACAACTGTTTTTCTTGGACCAACAGTCAGATAGTATTTATCATTGTGTTTCATTAATCAACCAAAAAAAAAGGCATGGCAACAACTCGAAAGTTGTAAGATAAAGACTCTTGTACAGTATAAAAGCAGCCCTGGCATAGAAGTTTCTTCACTTTGTGCATAAACTCATTATAATTTGTGATATCCTTTAGATATTTTTAAACTTAAAAGCGTTCGGCGTGTTGTATGGTTGTGATTACTTCCAAGGAGACTGAAACCATCCGGGTTGCTTTTCACAAATATTACACATTTAAATATGTAAACTGCTGAAAGTGTTAGAATCCCGTGCTCTCTAAAAGTTTGCCTGCATGACTCGTTATAGTTTTAACCAAAAACGAGTCTAATATTTTCTTTTGACCTAAAAATATCAGACACTCCCCAAGTCGCAATACCAACTGACAAATGGCTAAGAACAAATGCATAGTATAGGCTCGGTAGACCATCCTGGCTTAGGAGGGGTTTCATTTAGAAAATAGCAAATCATTGGCAAAAAGAATAAAAATTAATTGTCGCAGTACTGTTCCCTGTGAGACGCCCAAAGCTATAGGAAATGTTTTAGAATTTGTATTTTTATCTTTAGATATCGATTTTGAAAGTTGCTTAAAATAATAGCTTGTTTTTCAAATGTATTTTTTATTTTATTATTATTATATTTATTTATTCTGTGAAGAATTTATGATGTCAAATAACTACTTCGTTGTAACTTTCATATATTTTATATATATTTATATAACTCCATAAAACTTCTTACTTTATGAAAATGATAAATCGCCAGTTTCATTTAAATCTGCCAATCAGAAAAAATATTTTTAAATTTTTAGTTCATTTTTGAACAGTTAAATGAAAGTTTGTTTTTAAATAATTATTTTTAATTCTATAGATTTATGGTTTGGATAGAAATAAAAATTTTATATTATGCGGTTGTGCTTTGTGTTTTGTGATATCTCAAACATAGTGTCAAGTAGGTTGACTGAATTTTTACGTATTGCTATCATCTGAATATCATTCTGGTCGTTGTGAATGAAATCGTACCTAGATAGATGTTGAAAAAAATGTATTTTCAGATCCTTCAGTTGTTAAAATTCGAAGTTAAATTAACCTAAATGTGTAGGCACAGGCAGATCTAAGATAACACAACCGACGTAGTGTGCATCGAGCCTCGGGCCTCAAAGGGGCCCGGAAAGCGGTTTATGGGGGCCCCAGAGTAGATAAGATGTATATTCCCAAAATTCTAGTGGGCCAGTATGCTGGAGCGCCTTGAATTTTGGAGTACACAGAAAACGCGTCTTGGGGCCCTCTGAGTCCCCATACCTGACGCACGTGTACGTCATCTTAGATCCGCGGGCATATTTGTGAAAATTTTTCAACATGATTTGCTTTGTGTTTTGACTGCTGTGTGGGTTCTTCATCTATAACATTTTTGGTATTACTCAGTTTTTATGACATTGCGAATGGTTTTAAAATTGAGATATCAAGTTTTTTTTTAATGTCAATGAGAAACATATTTTCGCTTATCTTTTCGTTTGATCAATAATCATTGACTCCGCTAATTTGAAATATATACAATTCGAACATTTATCAAACTGTGATGATGAGGTTACTATTCTGCGTCGAGGACAAAAAAGGCGTTTTAGGTTTAGCTATCTTAAAATTTGGTCCAGTGGTTGTGGAGAACCGGAAACGGAAGCTTTCAGAGCGTTCCCAAACTTCCTGTTACGTTTCTGTCCAATTTCTGTTGGGCATAGTCTATTATTTTTTTTTTGTTGTATCTCATTTGACGAACACAATTCTGATCACATTAGAGAATTTAAGGCCAGCCTCATCCGCATGAATATTTTTGATATTTCTTCACGCATCACGTCTATTATACCTAGTTTATTCGTTTGCATTTGCAGGTGACGAAGACCTTCAATCCAGAAGCGCAATGCTTCCGTCCGATCGACAGTGTGAGCAATGCCCTATCCGGCCTGTCGCTTTCCCCTGGGGGCAAACCCATGGGCGGAGCTAACGGAGGCTTCCCAGCCGCCGCCCAAACCCCTCCTGCTGCGCCCTCGCCGACGCCGTTCAAGGCCGCATCGCCTGCTCCGCAAGCAGGGGTTGGCGGCCCCCAAGCTCCTGGCGCTCCTACGCAGCCGTTCATACCCAGGTCCACGCAGCCGCTGACTTTCACTACGGCCACCTTCGCGCAAACCAAGTTTGGCAGCACCAAGCTCAAGACTAGCAGCAAGAGGGCCAATCGGTAAGCATCACCCTAATAAAACAAATTATTGCTGCTACAAATACTATATTTAAAGCTATCGCTAGCTTCCGGTAATGTTGTTTCTCCATTTTGCTCATACAAAGTGATAAAAAAACCTGTTGCTTACTTGAAAATTTCTTTTGTCGGAAATATTGTTATGAAATTGCTAGAGGGCCAGAGCTGGCGAATGCGGTGGATGATCTATGAATTCAAGACCTGCTTGGTGTATGACCGTACAGTAATACAGGCTGGAATCATTATCCTCATGAAGCAACATGCCTCATATTAACTTCTTAAACGTTTCTCTTTAAAAAAGTTTATATATTAAGTTCGTGTAATTCTAATTACGGTTAAATAGAATGCCCCTCTGGCAGGTTTGTTTTTACAAGATATGTGTCCACAAAATTTGACATATGAACTTCTTTGCTAACACTACCAAGATCACATGTTTAACTATCAAGAAAATTCATTAAATAAGCATGTATGTCAAAGGGGTCAGGGTCTGAGCATTCGGTTTCACTCTCGTACAATAAAAAATTAACACAGTTTCTTAAAACATGCAGGCATCGAATGGCGTCATCTGACCTCCCCCCTCTCCTAAGAATCCAGTTGGACCTTAAAATTTGTATATTTAGTATAATTTCATGTCTAATCTTGAGGATTTCAAGGATATGACCTATTTGCTGCCTCCGCTCTTCAAAAAGTTTTGGGGGCAGACAAAAAGTTCTCTCGCCGATGATGGGTTGGCTTCAGAAAAATTTCTGACGCCAAAGATGTAATAGGAAAATTCTTGCATGAAATTCCAGTAGTGTAGAACAGGAGATATTTTAATCCTTAATAATAAACATATTTTCTACGCTACTGATTTTTGAACATATTTGTTGAATTTTCTACGTTTCCAAGTCGGTTTTGCTTTGCTTATTAATTATATTTTCTGGCGGTGAATTTTATAGATCGGTTATGCAGTAATTATTAAAATGTTAAAAGAACCTCCATTTAGCCATTTTCTGTGAATAGCTTAGCGTTATAAAAACCACACGATATTTTAAGGTCGCATTCAAACGTTTCCTAATCGATCATATTCATCCCTTTGATAAAATTCTTTAGGGAACTATTCTGTTACCTAGTGGATAATAATGTTTTTTCAGCTCAATCTTTGTGAATATATTTGATCTAAACCGGTTGAATATATCACAATATAGATAGGTAAATGCGTATTTTGAAAGTTTCTATTTTTCCAAAATAAAATGTTAGTTTCTGGTGCACGCCTATGGTCTTTTATCGTGTCTATAGTCCCTGAATGCTGCAAAACGTCGCCGCGCATTTAGATCCTGACCTTGTCACTTATTATTATGAATTATTGTCCCAGTTTAATTCTCCGCTAATTTCATTTGCGAATTGCGAAGATGAGACTAATGTTTGTGTACACAGAACACATCCAGTTTAGAGATGCTGACGTATTAAGGTCGTCTTGATCTGATACGTACTGTGTCGCTCGTTGATATTTTTAGTCACAAACTTCTATTTCAAAAGACGCTTAGGATATTCATGAATTACTTATGATAGCGCGCTTTAACTCAAGCAAAATACATATAGACCAAAAAGAAATAGAAAAATCTTGTATCTTGGAAAATGAACAGAGCACTCATGCTACCTGGTATAACATTAGTGATATCCTATGCCTGTTACTACAGTTAGTCGTGGGTTCTATGAGCGTACATTACTGCTGATCGTTTAACTTGATAGCTTACTGATAGATGGACCCAACCCCGATAGCATTAAATATTTATTAAATATTTTAAAAAAATGTTTGTTAAATATTTGTAGCGACACATTTTTTTAACGTTCAATAAATATATGTTTTATATGTTCATGAAATATTCATTATAGATATTTCTAATTCATATATTTTTGCGATATTTTTTCCAAATATTTAGAAAATATATGAGGAAAGATTTTAAAATATCAATTTTATATCTTGATGAAATATCTGATATTTTTCGTAAATCTGTATTTAAGAAATAAATGAAGCAATAGATTTTCGAGCATTAATCTGGTCCATATTTTCAGTGTTTATAGAAAATTCTTCATTGGTTATTTTAGAAAAATCTGTAGGAATGATTTTATATTTTTTTTTATAAATTGGGTTTATAAAGAATATTCTTCTAGATATAAAGGTTTATTTTGCTAGAAAAATATCATTAAAAAACATTCTTTGCCTCTTCTGCATCTTTCAAATCCCCTCCTCTGGAAAAAAACTCACAAATTATGAATTATTATTGAATACATAAGTTGCTTTCCAGTGGTCTTTTGTTTGGGAGAGATCCTCTCCCGAATTACTCTAGAAAGTGTATTTTTGGAAATATAAAATGCATTGGAACAATATTGGTCCTGAGCACTGCTGATTTACTCCAAGTAGCTCAACTGGGTCACTGAAAAGCAGCTCTATAATGCACCTTAAACATCATTGGAATGTTATGAATATTCCATTTTCAGATAAATCCACCAATCCCAAATCTGTTACACTTCAGTGCTAGTTAGTTATGGTCTTGGCACAATAATGTTTACGAGTCATATAATTTAAGCTATGTAATTATCACAAAACTTGCCCTTTTCCACAAAAAAAACACTCAAATAATGTACCACTTGGAGGTACACAGGAAGCACGCTATTATAGTGAAACTCACGGGCAAGATGGATTCCGGCAAACGGGTCGGCTCTGGTCGGCTTGCCATTATCCCATTGGTCGCTTGGGGTCCCAATTATTTATACCACAAAATATCCCCATCCACGTTTAGTAAATTACACACTTATTCTGCTTTGTGCAAAAAAACTCATTTGTCAGCTCATAGCGGCGAAGCACCCTCGTATAGCTTTAACGAAAAGGCAGAGAAATGAAAAGCATATAAAAAGCTAATATCTCCGTTGGCCTTGGAATATATTGCCATTAAATATACATTCCGCGTTGTATCCCTTTATCGCTGGCTCCTTTTTTCCTCTCCTGGATACTAATTTTGCATGATGCCAAAGTAACCACACAAAAAAGTACAACAAACGCTGTTTGTGAAAATACAAATACGTTTTTAAATTCACATACAAGAGGATCATTATGTCTGTATTAGGCCAGGAGAATGCAGACACCCAAAAGTCATCAAATGAGCAAATCTACTTAAGCCTAATTTGTGTTTTCCATCATATGTTTTTGATATATGTTATGGCCATTATGAGGAACATGACCAAGTGAATACTACACGGTGACTATTTACTGTGATCCATACTATCAATATGCATTGATAGATCCGTTAGTGATCTTGGATTTTTACGTAATCAGTCAGTAATAGTGATACTGATGGACCTCAGCTAATATTACTGAATACAAATTACGACGGGAGGAGGAGGTTTCAGCCACAGCAAATACTAAACGTATGGCATTCGTCTTAGAAGATGCATTTAAGAGCATTGTATTTTGACCTACCTCCCTCACCCAATTCCTTCAGACATTATTTCTCCCTTATTAGGAATTATGAATATGAAATTTAAAGATCAGGTAACGACGACTTGATTCCTTAAAGAAAAATGTAAAATTGATTTATTTTCATACATACAGGGTGTTCCAAATTCGACCGTCACCATTGGGATCTCGGAAACTGTAAGAGATATGAAGTCGCTTAAATGGGGGAAAAGTTGCATATTCAGGTAATCAACAAAATGCCGCTTAAAAAGTTTCGAAATTCAAAGTTTTGCACAGAAGACGGAAAAACTGAAATTTCCTAAGATCGTTTTAATTTTTTCTTGACCTTATTTCTAGTGCGATTTTAAAATATTTTGCACATTAACACTTCCACTTTTTTCCTCTACACTAAGACATAATCAGAATTTCGATATCATTTTTCGTCTCTTCTCCTCCAGAATCAAATTTACTTTTTTTATGGAGGCCTTATTGGATTTTAGCACAGATGAATAGAGTTTTTACTTCTGATTCCAAAAATGTATAATACGCCATTCATTGACAGTGCCAAACCTGTTATTTAAAAAAAATATATCTGATTTTTATCAGTAATTTGTTTCACATACCAGCTCTATCCCAAAATCACTTTTCATTTATTTTATTTATTTTTTTTAGTTAGAATTTTGAAATAACTTGCTTGTGGTTATTGTTACTTATTCTCCTTTACAAGATGGCGTAGTCGAATTTTCAATGCGTCATTTCTTCTTTCGTCTTCCATCACCAACTTTGTTTTTTCATACGGATGCTATATTGGAATTTTGTACATTTGAATTGACTTTTTAGTCCTAAATTCAGTGATGTATTTCCTTAATTGGCCATGAATTAATTATTGGATGAGAATTAAATGGAAATGAAAAAGTACCTATAGTGAAACCTGAACAAAAAATGAAAATTTTATTGACGGTAATAACAATAATAATCATAAATAAGCTGACTCTTAGACTTTAGTTAAACTCTTTTAACGGTAATCTCGAGCTTTCGGTCCTCTATGGAACCATAGCTGAGGTTGCAGCCAAATGGTGTTTCAGACGAAAGCGTGGATGAGAGCACTTGTTGCAATAATAAAACCAAAAGGACGGACACAATGGGTTTTTTTATAACGACGGAAAACTATAGTTAGGTGTTAAAACTATATATCAATACACCCGAACACAAAAATTGCAGTTCGATAATGTATATAAAAAATAATGTAGAGGAGGAAAGGGGCAATGTTAAAGTGTATTTTTTTTAGAAATCCCACTACAGATAAAATCAAGAAAAATTAAAACGATTTTGGGAAAATTCTGTTTTTTCCGTCTCTCTCCGGAAGTACTTCGTCTTTCGAAACTTTCTAAGCGGCATTTTGTTGATTACCTAAATATGCAACTTTGCCCTCATTTGAGCGACTTCGTATCCCTTAAAGTTTCTGATATCGCAGTGGTGAGGGTCGAAGTTGAAACACGATATATAATAAAGAGATTTAATTTGAATGTTAATCTTGTTGCTCCAGCATGTCCCCGACGGAGTTCTCGAACTACATAAAGCAGCGCGCTATGCAACAGCAGCTCCACCAACAACAACAGCAGCAGCAACAGGTAGCCGCAGCTGCGGCTGCTGCCGCCGCCGCTGCTGCAGCCGCGGCAGCCGCCGCTTCCCATCAGCAACACTCGCCGGCTGCTGCGGCGGGAAGGGCGTTGTCTCCCGATCCTACCGCGTATTTCTTCCCGCCGGCAGCTGCCGCGGCGCTAGGGCATCACTACCCGCCGCCTCCGCCGCATTTCCCGGGGCGCGCCGCCAATGGCTTTGACTCCAATCCGCCGTTGCAGCTGCAGTTCGAGCCGTCACCGCCGCAGTCGTTCTATCCTGCAGCTGGAGGTCAGTATACCAAAAATAGAGTTACGCTGCGCCACTAAAGCAACTTTTAATGCTTTTAACTTAGAAAGTCTGCGGAAAGATCAGTCTCAGAACTAGTGGCGTAGAGCTGAGGTTTACGGGAACCCTATAGTCACGATGAAGTAATAGTTCAATGAACATTGGTGAAGTTGCTCAAAACTTGATTCGTTTTTGTACCGTTGGAAGAAATTTTATAGCTGGAAGAAGAAACATTCTCCATATAATATCTGAGCATCTGCATTTCTAGCACAAACTCGTTTGTTATCTAAATTGGCTACGTAGATCACGGGTTTTATTTCAATTTTTTTACATTTCCAGCTGGCCTCAAAACACTAATTTTTATACTGAAAATCGGCCTCTCGACATCTTAGGATGAATTTATGTGTGTTATATTCGAAATCATTGTACCAAATCACCCCAGTATACCGATTTCGTTCGATCAAAAGGACTAAACTGAAAATTTAGCCTTGTGAAGCTTCAAAGTTTGAATATAAAGAATGACAAACAGTTTTCGAAATTTCTTGTATATCTACAGTTTGATCAGATTGAAACTTGTTTCAAGAATAAATCGGATGGTTAAAAAGCCCAGTTTTCTACTCAAAATAGAGCTTCACAACACTTAAGCATTTTTGATTGTCATATTATCCTTGTCCCAAATTACTGCACTTTGTTGAGATTGGTTTGCTTAAATTGGAAGATGAACATGGACATTTTGCCTCTAGAAACTTTCAAGTTTCAGGGCATACTCAAATGACCAATTTATAGAGCTTTGGAGTGGGGGGACGAAAACTGACATATTAGATTGTGAAACCTTCAAGACTTAAAGGCCTTAAAGAAGTATTTACTAAAATTCTGGCGTATTTGTATCCTCGACCTAAGCTTTTTTAGGGCTACCCAAATCTCATTTACAACGTTACTAGACAAAGTTATTTTATTTATCTATCGTAATAATAATTAAATTTTATTCGAAAATGGGAAGCTTTGAGACTGAATGTCTAAATAATAATTATTGTTGTAGGTATGGGTGGGCCGCAACCCACTCCGAACGGTCCCCAAGCAGGAGGTCAAGGAAACGGTTCCGGAGGTCAAGACAAGTTGGACAACAACTGGCCATACTCCGGGCAGTACCAACATCTGTTAGTCGCCAACTAAACTGTACGCTTCTGGTACAGTGGTTCTCTTCTGCTAGAGCCGAAGGACATCAATAGGGAGGTACACTTTAGTGAGATGTCGTTACGTGGACAAGCATATATGTATAGAGGGCGCAAATGTCTGATGGTTGACCACAACTGACCAGAATCACCTTGAATTTCGTCAACGTTTGAAGAAAGCAGAAAGTATACTATGAAAATGATATAAATCAAAGAAAATGTACCCATCTATCCACTATATTTCCAGTTTGCTTAGAGCAAAGTCACTAACTACAACTATAACCAAAGGATAACGTCTAAATATCTCAACTAGTTGTTCAGTAAGCAAAGAATAAGTCTATTCCGAAAAAAATATAAATCTACGATTCTACTACGGTTATAATATCAGTTTCAAGTTTCAATAATTTAAGACGAAAATTATATCTATCATTGTGTATATCAAGGTGGTTGGCTACTGGAGAAATATTTTTTATTCAAACATCAGATTGAGGTGGTTTGATTATATTTTACTTTGATATTTTCGCAGTTCCTATTTCTTCTTTAATTTTGTACTAAGTGGTTCTTGCTAGTGGGATACCGTTGGTTCTTTCTTCTAATGAATTGTATATAAATAGTGTAAAGTTCTTAATGGATATATTTATAAAGAAAATGATGAAACTTCCATTGTCTGGAGTAGTTAGGATCTCCGTAATATTTAAATTATTTGTAAATACGACTTTTTTATAATTTTTATATTTTTGTAGCGAAAATCTTATTTTAATACTTGATGAATACTTAACACGCACTTTTAACACGATCTTAAAAGTATAAAATCACATGATGTTATTGAACAGTTTTTCAATGCAAATTTTTAGATACATATTATCTTTAAAGCTAAATGTGTATTAGGACAGAAAAGCAACATTTTTATTCTTGTAATTGCGTAATTATTAGGTAAAAATGTTCGAGATATTTTTTTAGACACTCTGTGTATATTAGTTGAAAATCTATAAATATATATATTTTTCCATGGAAAAAATGTGTAAATACTTATATTTTGCACTCTACGGGCGGCTATAACGGTTAAACAATATTAATTATTTTAGAGTCCACGTAACGACAAAAATTTAACATCACACGCCTTTTTTATACACGTATTTTCAAATCCTCCCCGCCTTCAAACAGCACCAAATAAGCTCAGTTCATTTCTATAAATCTGCATTAACTTAAAGTGCAGTTGAACCAAAATGTGAAAGCCAGGTCTCCGGGCTGGTTTGGCAATTTCAGGATCCAGAGTATAACATTGATATCGAGTTGAGTTTTGTTGGTGCTACAGAAGATCTAGAGAGCCACGTTTCTCGTAGCCGTAACAAAAAAAAAACATACGTTATCTTATATATTATAAGAAAACCCAGCTTGATACTTTAGATTTTTATAATTCGTAGTTAACTTAGATAATATAGATGTTTCTTACTTTGTATATGGTGTTTACAGTATTCTTGTAGAGTGTAGAGTGTTTTTCCTAAATTTTTTATATTGTATGTATTTTTTTATTTTTGTATGTAAAAGCTCAAGATGTCATCTAGTCCCATTTGTAACAAGTACACATTTTCAATAAGTGTTGGCATATCATATCGGGTCCTAACATAAAAACAAATGAATAGTAAGAGAAAAATATTATAGCCTCGTCGACACAATCTCAGTTTAGCTCTTCGCAAACATACAAGACTTTCAAAACTTTACGTTAAAAAAGTTTTGTCGAAATAGATGCTCCAATATCTATGTTTCTTCTATAACACATTAGACAACTGATATATTCACCAAAACTACCCCTATTTGAACGGTACAAATCAAAACAAAATTTCCTATTTCGGAAAAAGCAAGTATTTTGTTTATGAGAATGCCTTTGAGGTGTATTGATTTTGTCTAGTGCTTTCTGTCGTATAGTTTTGAGATGCCCTGTTTATATTTACGCAATAATATTGATCTGTTATATAGGTACTGAATTTGTGATATTCCGGTTAGTCATAGCGAACTTTGTATAATGTTAAATAAATTTTAGTGTTACCTCCGATCTCTTTAGAAGATATATGTCGTCGATAAACACTATTTTTATTGTGAATCAATGGTGGTTCTAAACCCTGGACATTATTATCATTTTTTTACTTATGTATGTATATCTCTGTCACGGTTTAAATATCAACACAAATATTGTTCGGGGTTCGTATATAGTGTAGGAGACACTGTTTTTAGTTACCCACCTTTTCTTTTCCAGCATCTGGTGACCCAAAATTTACCATACTGACGTCTACTCAAACCAGATTCATTCTAAGAACATGCGTTGTTCAACATAACTGGTTATTTATCTCGTCAAGAATTAGTTATGCTAGAACGCTTCTAGAGAAGTTTTTTTATATTAGTACCAAAGATCGACGTATTTGTGACGTTATTACGTATAACGCAACGTCACTGAAGCTACGTCATATTGACGTCATATTGTGTCCAAATGAAAAATGAACAATATTCGACGTTGTAAATACGTCTTTTTATGGATGGACTTTTTGTTCAGTATTCATTGGTGATTTTGGGTTATCAAGATGAGTGTTTTCAGTTGCTAAAGTGATTGGAGTAGGAGCTTGTGTGGACGTGGACACTTTGTACGCTCAGTATTGCATGATGATGTTATCGCCGTACCCGAAATGGGTACTAGATGCTTCCTTTTTCTCACATTTTTAAGGTTTAACGTGCTATTTTTTACTGCTTGATTTTTGTTACGTTTCTCACTGATGTTTATTTTTTATTTGTATAGAATTGTTGACTTTAATATAATATATATTTTGTTAAGAGCCAATAGTTTGATTGTCGCATCACTTTGGTGTGTCTCGTATGATTAGTTCCAGCGTACCTGACTTGTTACTATATCATTATAGGTGGATTTTTCGTATTTGCTAGCTAATTATTGATTATCATAAACGTTAGTATGTAATTCATTCAACGAAAAATCAAAATTCTTCTTGAAAACGCTTACTCATCCAAACATTCACATTTTACAATTTTCACACATTCTACAAACCCCCAACTCTCTAAATATAAATCCAAGGCCTTTACCAGACTATTTGCAAAATATATCAATACTTAGACATACCTTATATTTTTTGCAAAGTCTTTACAAAAAAATTACGTACGTACTACCATTTACTAGGTATTTGATATATGTGTGTCTTTGATTCACACTTAAGTGTCACTAAAAACACGCAAAAAATATGTTGAAAATGTTGATGTTGATATAGTTATGGGAAATGAATAAAGTTGAATCTAGAAGTAATTGTGGTTCAATCTAAGGTTTTTGACCAAGAAAACATCCAACTTTTATCAATAGTAAAGTGTTTTAGGATGTTAAAAATTGTAAAAGGTAAATGTCCCTGGCTGTAACAACTTGAAAATTCACCTGAAATTTTCAAAAAGGAATCTTGTGATCAGTGCTTTATAATATCGCTTCAAGTGATAAGAATCTGATGGTGATATGAATCGAGTGGTTGTCACATCGGAATAATAGGGAAAATTGATAGGATAAGGCTTTTCCAATGCGGTCTCATCTCAGTTACAGTAGCGTTACTGATCCAAAAAAGAGACCATTTTGGCGAAAGCACCAATTTGAACAGAATGATACTTGCATGTAGATAGTGCATGGGATATATTTTTTTTCTATTTTGCATGATCCAGTCGCGTACAACTAGAATACAACAACAGCAGCAAATTCTCCAAAACAACAGAGGTGTATGTGTGTATGTGTTCCGAGATACAGCATTTTAGTTTCCCAATAGTCATAAAAGTTCCCCTTAATATGTGTCCTAAAATGCTTACGAGTATGTATGGTACACCAATACCTTCCTCACAAACTCTCTATATTACAAATTAAAAGTTCTCATTGAATTTTTTGCTTCGATTATTTCAAACACGTCACTGAATTTTAGAACACCTTTCTGATGTTACTCTGTTGTTGAATATGGTTATGTAGTTTGAAAAATGAGTAAGAATCAGGTAAGTACTTCATTTGTTTATACTTCTAACAAAATTATTTTGCAGCTATGAATCAACTTAAATATTGAGTAGAAATACTCTCCTTCATACATCAATAACTTTTTTAGCAGATTCCAATTGAAGTCACTGCTTTCGAATTGCCTAGTAATATAATTCAAAAACTAAAAACACAAAGTTTCGCACACACGTCAATCTTAGTGGAATGATGAGTAACTTTAATTTTCTTAATTATTCACACCAAAATACATTGGAAGGATCCTAAATAGAGCAAATGAAGATGAACGTCGTCTTAGTAGTGGTGATTCAGGAGTAAACCTTTTATACATACGAAAGTTACTAGGTAGATTTTCCCTCCACGTGATAAAAAGTATTTTTTTAAGAATACGGAAAACGTCTGTTTGGACGTTTATGATTGGTCGGAGAGTTTGTAGGCAATGGCAGAGTGGCTTTCAACATTTCTAGTATAGGATGTAATATGCAATATTATTAACAACTTCTGTTTCTAACATCCTCATCATGACGATACAACCGATTTTCCTTACTCTGTTCCTTTTAGAGTTTTCATTCGATACATTGAACGTGTCATATGCACCCTATATACAAAATGGTTGACGCTTAAAGAAATATTGATGCCACTATATCGCAAGCATATGCTCATAGACACTGGTGGTAAAAAATAAAATATGGCCAACGGTGTACAAGTTACCTGTATCTGAAGCTCGACATTCAAAAATTGAGTCTTTTCTAGGGCAAGGAATATATCATTGCAACTTGCGTAATTCCGCCAGTTTATCATGAACAGGAATTAATAAGCCACAAAGATATCTAAAGGTCTAAAAGAAACTATTCACGCGTATTTCCTGAAATGTTACATAAAGATGAAAGATGCTACCTTTAACTCATTCACCTGACACAATCTAAGAAACTTAGGCGCAGGACATTTTTAAAATTGAAAATCAACCTGGACATGAGAACTCCTTTTATGTTAAAACTTCCTTTCATACAATCGCAGAATGTATTGAGTCATCAACACAAAGATTCCAGAATAAAATTCATGAGGCAATTCAGCCCAATTTTGCGTAATTTTATAGATATTTATATTTTGCAGATGCTATATTTTCATTCAATTGATTATTACAAACAGATTCTTACGATTTGCATGGTATTTTTAAAACGTCGCTCTATGTTTTAAATTCTCTAGATTATTTACTTCACGCTCCCAAGATTATTCTGATTGAGGATAAATGTTAAAACTTTTCAAAAACTATGAGACAAAAGGTGTTTCTTATCTTTAGGAAAGAATCAATTTTCCGAATAATAGAGCACCCAGAGCTACAACAATGTACATGATTCGTATTTATATAGATTCTCAATTATTTTATATACTTGCTTGTGTACTTAATCGCATTTTAAATCTAAATAAAGATGTGTATATACTCTCCCAAACTAATCGTGTTGTTTATAATCCATGTGTATTCTTGTAACCATACGTTATACGAGTAGAACTTTTTTATACTTAGATACAAACTTTGGAAAAATGGAAGAAGAATGCGTTTGGCAATGGAAGAAAAGGATGTGCTTCAGATGCTTCATTCACTCAGGTTCAACAAGATACAATGCTTAAGAATTCAATTTTTTATATATAATATCATAATTTTAATTCTTATATTAGACTAACGTATTTTCTATTAGATGTATTTGCGTATTAGGCGAACAATAACCTTAATTAATGCCTTGCTTGAATTTTCCAATACATAATGTATACGTAAATACGACAATGCGTCTACCTCTGAATTTTTATTTCCTAGATGCGGTGTAGATGTATAGATTTTTTTGGTTTTCGTGATTATTTATTCCACACGCACTAGTATTCAGGTATAAACTCTATTATTGAAAGAGTTTTCCCATATAGAACAAGAAGTTCAGAACGAAAAATTAGACAATCTGTATCATAATAATATGATGATATTTAAAAAAATAGCATCCTTGCCTACTATTAACAAACCATTGTTCCAGAGAAAACGATACCAAAAATATAAATCTTTCAAGGGACTGATATGCCCCATAAGGAATGTGATGGCTCTTTTTTACTAACCCTAATTGTCGTAGCAGTAGGTAGGCTAGTTGCAAAACATTAAATAGTCAATAATAGAGTTCACGAGTATCCATTACGGTAGAATGAAAGCTGAATATCTAGTAATATTTCAAAATTCATATACTGACAAATGACGTAATTCTTTTATTAATTTGGAAAAGTTCATTTGAATAGAGAAAAAAACAGACTAAAACAAAGATGTCACTTGCTGTTCACGTCAGTAGACGTCAAAACGTGATGGATATTTTTGAAATAGGGCTTACAGAAAAATAAAAGAACCTTATGCGAAAATATTATTGCTAATCTCCAATGTAGAAATCTCACAAATTCAAACTTGAAGCGTCTTGAACATAATTCGTCTATTTATTTAAGTGATTTTCATTATCTTTGTTCAGAGCATTAAAAGGTCATCAAAATAAGTATTTGCACTACTTTTGCTCATTCTAAACAGGTTTAAAAAAATCCTACAGTGTTATGAGAACGACATGGTGGGTAGTCTTGTTGACTATAGTGACGTGTTTTTCAACTAACCTACACTTTATGTACTTTGTAAATGTCACTACTATCTGTGTTAGCTACATCTCTAACTTTATTACTACTAAAAAAAGAAATAATTGTGACTCTAAGGTGTAGTTTGATGAGAACCATATAATAATGAATATATTTAAATATAGTGAGACACACGGATTTCCATCCCGTTAATCTTAAGTAATATGTGTATGATAATATAGTCTATAATTTTTCATATTGTTGTACGGTTTTTAAGTTTATATTAAAATGTTTGTGCATTAATAAATTGTGTATCATTTCGTTAGCATTCACTCATTTCAACGAATACCATGCCCTACTCTATACAGGGTGTTTCAGAAAGGCGTGCTACTATTTCTAGGTTACAAAGTATATCCGAAAATAACAAAAAAGCTCCTATAAATAGAAGTCCAAATATGTTCACCTGCCGAGTTACAGGTTGATGAAGTTTTATTTACGAAATCTAAATAAATGTATATCTACGGAGCGCGTAAAGATACTAAGTTAGGATTTTAAATGTCCAGTGAGCACATCATAAATAATAAACGCGCAGTAACCCAAACTAAACCAGAGATGTAGAAACTAATAGGAAATATTTTCTACGCCACTGGCCTTTTCATAGAAAAGAAGTGCATTTTATAAAATACCATTCAATTTTCCATAAATTTTGTCTTCTAAGGAATTTTTGCCAGATCACTCGCTTTGGAGATATTTAGGTTTGAATATCCTAGGTAAAATCCTAAAATATTCTTATGAAAAGGTTTAGCCTTCTGTATTCTCAAAACACCGTGTGGCTTGATATTGGAAACGCTATACATATATGGCATGTGAAGAAAGCTATGGCTCCTCGTTAATTGAATAATATGCGTGTCTTATTCTCAATTAGTAGCCTAGAATCCTAGAAGATTACCATTAAGGTGAGTTTACACATGCATGGTTTTAGTGGCGCCAATAGGAACTGGCGCGCCAGTAAATAAAATTTGTATGTGTAAACATCGACTTGCATAAAATTTGAATCTTTGCATGCATAGACCAAAACAATATGTATACTTCTGAAATCACTGGCGCCAGTACTGAAAGTTCTTCGCGAAAAATCATAATGTTGCCATAATTAGCATGTGAAAACAAGTACTTGCACGTCGGCTTGATAGTATAGAAATATTGCAGTGAAGTGAAAGAATCTCCGGTTGCAAGATATCTTGATGTCACTTCCAACTTTAATTTTGGTGTTAATATGCATCTCTCATGTGGGTATCCATTTTTATAATCGTCTTGTAGCTGCAGGATTTTCTGCCAAGAGTTCTCCTAGAAGTTTTACAGAAGCACCCAAAGTAGTGCGACGGTCAATCCATGATTTAACCCATACACGACCTTTTCGTTTGCTAGCGTTTTTTTTTTCTTTATTTCTTTATTTTTTTTCACTAAAAGCTTAGCAACTATGTTGCAGGCTTCGCGAAGTTCATCCGACGTATTGCGTACTATTTGAAAATGAAACTGGCGTACCAAATATTTCTGTTTTTGTACATACAGTGTAAACCTTTACTGGCAAGCATATAGAACTGACGCGACCACTGACGCCACTAAATCCATGCATGTGTAAGCTCACCTTTAATTAAACGTCTATGCACGCCACTGGTTTTCATAATATACTTATCCCTGGTATTACCCATGTTAGATTCTTCTTATTGTCTAAAATCACAACTAGTAATAATTGTAGAACCAATCAATTTGAGTAAAATTCTTATTATCTTCTTTCTGAAATTATTGGCCCTTTTTTCTCACAATTCTTCAGCATTTCGGATTAAGTAAGCTCAACAAAGAAGATATCACAAATTGTTAGCAATCTCGGACACAAAGTATACAGAAGGCTTTCAACACTGTGCGTTTTACGCCAGGTATTTTGCAAAGAGTCAGGGTCAGAGAATCTTTGTGGAGTAGAGCACAGGCTTGTGCTGAATCCAGATGTGGTCACTTTCAACTTTCAACACCACCCTTTAGTCCTTTAGATTGGATGTTATAGAATTTATTCAGCACTATTTTTTGTTTCGAATGTTATGTCCTTATAAATTTAGAAACAACCACGTAAGTTGTATCAAATGTGATGTGCTCGTGTTTAATTGTTATTTGCTTTATTATTTATATTTGAAATAAACGTTTTATTTGTTTTGAAGTTTCTTTATCTACATAGTCGTGCCATAAGTTCTGTCCCATGATAATCTCATGATAAAAATGAAACAAGATAAGATATATTTATATGAAAGATATTATTTATTCGACAACATTTTTAGAATTCATAATCAAACAGTTTTATTCAAAATGTCCCCCCTTGGCCTTCACACACTGCTTCAATCTCGCGGGCCACTCATCTATCACTGCACGCACAGCTTCCAAAGGAATAGCTGCCGCTGATCGGATCAAATCCGCTTTCAGGGACTCGATATTACGGTGGGCTTTGGAGCAGGCCAACTGCTCTAGCAGGTCCCACAACTTGTAGTCTAAAGGATTGAGGTCCGGACTCCCTGAGGGCCAATCTTCCGCAGCAATGAACTCTGGCACATTGCTTTCCAGCCAGCGCTGCGTACTCTTAGCCTTGTGAGCGGGGGCGGAATCCTGCTGGTAGACCCAGTGTTGGTTGGCAAACAATGTACCACTTAAAGGCTTGACGATAGGATCCAGTATGTCGCTCTGATAGTTTGCCGCTTTTGTTTTCACGCCCTGTTTACAGAAATGGAGCTGAGTGACCCCTTCGTAGGACACCCCCCACCAAACCATGACTGACGCAGGGTGGTGGCCTCTCTCAACTCTCGGAATGATCTCCGAAGCTTCCTGTGAACTCCTTGCATACACTTTGTCATTTTGTCGGTTGAATTTTTCTTCTATGGTGAAGATTTTCTCATCCGTGAACAAAATCTTTCGGAATCCCCCAGCTGCGTACCTCTCCAAGAGCTTCTTGGATCTTGTCGCCCTGATGTGTCGCAAGGTGGCCGTAAGTCGCTGGCCCGTACGTCTCCGGTAAGCCCCTAGCCCTAGGTCTTGTTTAATGATGCGCGACATCGTCCGGACAGGAATCTTCATTTCCCTGGATAGGATCTTCTGCTTCCGGAGTGGATTCCTTTGAATCCTGGCTTTTACGGCTTTGATGGCTGCTGGAGTCCTTACTTGACGAGGTCTTCCGCTTCTTGGCCTGTCATCAACAGAGGACGTCTCATTGTACCGCTGAATGGTCCTAGACACAAATTTACGCGATATTTGAAGGCCGCGTAAGAGTTCAAAAATCTGACTAGCACTGTGATTACACTTATGTAAAGCTATCACTGCAATACGGTTCTCTGCCTTGCCCCACTCCATCGTTATGCTTCGAGAGATCAATACAAACTGAGGTATATGTAATTACCCGAAAAGCGCTTAATCAACTGACACCACAATGTAAACAATCGGACAAGTATTAACAGGTCTACACTTGTTTGAAAACGAGGGACAGAACTTATGGCATGACTACGTATAAACAAAATTGAATATGCTAGCAAAACCAGTGGCGTGTACAGGAAAGGTTTAATGAATGGTAAGCTTGTACGCTACTGATAGAGGATAAGACGCGCATATTATTCAATTAATGTTGTAATGAGCTGCCATAGCTTTCTTCTCATGCCACATAGTGTTTCCAATATCAAGCTTCACTGTGTTTTCAGAACAGGGCAGGCTAAACCTTTTCATAATAAAATTTGGGGGAGCAGCTAACAAAACTTGCATTGATGCTCTAGAGCTCTAGACCACAGAAACTAATTTTAAAAACAATACACAATAAACCAATTACGTATCCAACCGAAACTTGGTATGCTGAAAATTAAATACCCGATATGGCCACAGACCAACATAAAATAAAAAAACAAAATGTGTTCAATACAAGTACAGAAATAGATATGATTTACTGAAAATTCCCAAACCAGGAAAGAACTATGCTACGCTATTGGACCTTTCTGTGTCTTATAACCACCTAAAATAAAGAGACAAATAAACATTAATAAGTTTAAAAATGAGTTAGAGTAATGGTTAATATTTGCTCCTCGATGTAAAATTCATCAATTTATCGACCTGGAGCCAACAAATTAATTTACCTACTTACCTTCACCATTCAGGGTGTTCACTTATTCTTCAAATTAAATATTGAGAAATTTCATTGTGCTTACTTCCAACTAACGTCAATAAAATGTATATGTTGCAAACGTATGTACACAAAACATGTGTTGTAAATTTGTCAATGTTGCTATATTAATGAATGTGTTATCATTACATCTTAAGTTTGTGTAAAGTATACATTTGATAAATTGTGAATAGTCATATATGGCCCATGCACAAGGATCGTATATTCGTTTCTATGGGATCGTTTGTATTTATTCGAATGTTGCTTGTAAACATTTTGACTAAATATTATTACTATTATTATTCCCGGATTTTACCTCTAATATTTAAACTTAAATATCTTCAAATATAGTGATATGACAAAAACTCCACAAGATACAAAATTTATGGTATTTTATAGCATGCTCTTATTTTCTCCGAAAAGGCCAGTGGCGTAGAAAATATTTCATACTAGAGGTCCAGGTTCCCAAGCTTCTACGTCCTTGGCTTAGTATGTGTCGAGAAACTGTGTATTTATTGCTTACTGAACGTCTAAAATCTTAAATCTTTGAACCCATATTTATAGGAACTTTTTTTGTTATTTTGGGATGTAACGTTTTTCCCCAGAAATATTGGCACGTCTTTCTGAAACACTCTGTATGGTGTATATTATGTGGAAAAGGTTTTGTACGAATAACAGTACTAGTGAAATGCGCCATATTTTTTGTTTTTCTGTCATACTCGTACAATTTTATGAGTCAATAATTTGTTCTATTAGTATCATATGAGATTACTTTGCAAATAACGCTATACAAAAGAAATCTGTCGTATATGATCAGCTCGTATGACGACAAACTGAGGTTTATTCTTATATAATAATATGATCAATATACAACAGGAAGGAGGAATTATTTAAGGTTCAAATGGCTGGGATCGTTTATCGAGGGTGTCGCCTGCAGCAGCAGCAGAGCAGGGCCAACTTTGATAGAGCACGAGTGCGACGAAAAATCAATAGTCCAGGTCAACTGCGCTAAATTGGGTGGTTTACGCTGTATTTCAGGGTCTGCTGTCCGTGTTGGTGTACTTTAATAATTAGAAAGAATGAGTTAGAAAATCTGCGAACTAACGACAAAAGTCTTCAGGGAGTCTATTATCAACTTTTCCGATACGCACGAATCTCTCGCATATGTTGAAAAATAGTAACTCGATGCAAATATGTATCAACTACTTTACATCATGGCATTCCTAATACGTTAAAATAAGACAAAATAGGAAAATTATACATTTAATTAGAAGTAATATCTTTAACAGAAATTCAAATGATCCAAAGACATTATTAACAGTGTGAATTGGCAGTTATACAACGAATTTTCTTATACGAATGATTCCAAAAATATCTTTTTAACACGTTCGCTGCGACCTGCCTCGCGCCGCGCGCACGGTAGCGGCTAAGCGATTTTAGGCGCTGCACAAGCGAAGCGCGAATTCGCGTCGTAAGCCTATTGGATGTGCGTTGTGTAATTGAAAACTATTTCATAAATACATTTTCTTCTTCTATCTCGTTTTTTTTTCGTGCAGTAACACGAAACATGTCTTGAAACCCTATTAAAGATTTTTCTGTGGGCTGGAAAAATCATCACTCGTTTCAGACATATTTCCATCAGACTGCTCACTTCCATCTGAACTGGGAACATAATTGTCTGAGTCACTTAGATTCTCGATTTCACTCCCCGAATTGGCAAGAATATCATACAGTTATTTTTCTGTAAGCCCTTTATTACGGTTAAAATACGTTTTCACTCGTTTTGGACGTGAACAACCTGCTTCCACATCATCCACCATTGCGCAATGTAAAAATAAACGAAACTTGATCCTACGCGTAAAATAGTCCAAAAATATGTTCAATATGTAGGTGACCAAACAGAAAGCGAGTGCGGTACAAACTGACAACACTACAGTCTTGTGAGTTTAAATATCAGCCAGAAGCGCGGATCCGCGCCCGCCGCCTTTCGTTAAACATCGGTCGGACGCGGATCAGCGTCGTTCGCAGTGAACGTGTTAATTGACTGTCGCAGATATACATTTTATACAAATCACGAATGCGTAAATTTTCGAAGTATCCAAGGAATACCATTCCAAACTGTAGGGTTTCATGATAAATATAGTGCTCTGCGTTTGAAGGGTAACCATATTTACAGAAGGCGTCTGTGAAACCTTAGAATGGCCTAGCACAGGGCTGTCCAACATACGGCCCGCGAACTCCTTTCTTGCGGCCCGCTTCACGGGTCATGTATACATCACATGTATAAATTACTCTCAAATACCGAATATGCACAATTCTTACATTAACTCTGTAATAATGAGGTATAGAAAGATTTTATAATGCGGCCCTCCAAACTGCATTTTTTTTAAGTGGCCCTTGGGCCACATTAAGTTGGACAACCCTGGCCTAGCAGCTCGCAGAAAAATTAGTCTCAGGTTCAAGAGTGTCTTGGTTTCCTACAAAACTTAACTTTGCTTTTAAGGCGCTATGGTACTTACGTTTTGCATGTAAAAATTCTGCATTTCTACAAACTACTTGCTAACGTAATAATTTTCTTTCTCTATCCCTACGCCTCTGTTTCTACTGAGCCTAGGTCAAGGCCTACAAGGCCGCCACGCAGTTTTTAGCCGTGTAGAGGAGGCGATCGATACCCTGAAGTAAGTCCACGTTTTAACCCACTGCCAGCAAAGTGCTAAAAATAAATCGAGGAAGCTGCCGTGGCTGCTTTATAGTAGGGTCCTTTGGGCATCAGGACATCCAGGACCGTAATCGAGTTTTTGATAAATCATGAAATATATAAACTGTATCCCGCTTCTGATGAGACTTGGTATAATATCAGAATCTCTTTTCAAATTCACTGGTACAAATCGGTATAATAGAAGTTGGGTAATGGGAATGGGTCAGTTGAATAAAAAAAATAATGTTCTAGCTTTAACTCGCAGGTTTCTTCACAATGGAGGGGATAAAAGTATCGAATACTTTTGTTTATGCATCACTTGCAAGTGTCTATTTCGGACAAAATCATAGATCCTCTACTGCAGTCGGACACTAACACAAATTGAAGTGAAATATTCCTCTTCAGCGTAGTTTGTGTTTTTCTTCTTAAGTAGAAATTGTGGTGTTGAGGATGGTAAAAACACAAAAGTGTACGAAAAGAGCTAATTTTTATTATATAAAATACAGTCATACGATAATATACATAGTAAAAAATGTACAGCATAGGCACAACAAAACACGAAATAAACCTTACTTCGTATGTATGACAAAATAAAAAAATCTCTATATTCTACAGTCTACGCCAGGCATCAGGAATATTTCAATATGTAAAGATAACAAAATAAAATAAATTCTTTAAAAAAGATAATATGTGCTAAATTATATTTTACGATAGATCAGCATTATACACAATTAACTACATCAGTGAGGGTATACAACAGTCTTTCTATTCATTATAAAATTATAAATGTACATAATTGCAATCAAAAATTATTCCCAGATCTATATCTAATGATTTACTCTATTAACGATAACAACACATATCCACGTTGTATGTGGTTTTCCGAATTCTTAACTCCTTTGTTGGTGTTTTTTAACAATCTATTTTATACCTAAAAAAAGTTTTAATTGCTAGACTATTAAAAAAGAAAAGTTTTAAAAGGACATTCATCTTTCTAATTGAATTTTTTGCTTCAAGTAAGAGCAGACACTTTTGAAACATCACATAGTATACGCTTTTTTCTTTTCGAACATGTGACTTGGTATAATAAAAATCCATAATATAACTGAAGTTAGTGCTTAGCTAACACCTGGTGCTATAACAAATACTCTAATAATTGTAGGTATTTGTCGCGCTTGTTCATCGTTTTAGCTGTTGTTAAGTTAAAACGGGTGCGCGCTGATAGTGTGAGCACGTAACTCTTTCGGCATTTCGAATCCCATATTGCAGATGGAACATGAAAAGACCGGCTTCGAAGGGACGTTGGCCAACCTTTGTTTCTCGTGCGTCTTCAAATGGATCGACAGCGAGTTCTGCTTGTCGAAGATTCGTTCGCAATAGTTGCACTTGAACTCTGTCGGTACGTACTCCTTGTGGTGCTGTCGCATGTGGATGCCTACAATAATAACCGATTAATCAATAATACCATTGAAGCAGGTCAGGAATTAAAATAAAATTGTCGAAGGTAAACTAGTATTAACATCGAAATAAGAAAGTGCCTTCTATTACCAGAATCGACCACTACGGAAATAAAACAGCAAGCTGTCTGCTGGAACTGTACCGCAGTTCGTATTGCCAGCCGGGTCAGCGCTGTGGCCGCTAGATGCCGCCGATTTTGGCGCTTGTTCCATACTATAGAAACAAATTCGATAGGGCTAAGATATGAAAAGTATTTTGAAAATGTTCTCATGAAGACTTTCAAAACATAGGACACTTATACAGGGTGTTTCAGTTTATTGTTGCATAACTTTAAGATTCGATAGAACTTTTAAAATTAATGCATAAAGTCTATATAAACATGGGTCGAAAAATGCGTGGCTTCCGAAATACAGGGTGTTTAAATTTACTTTTTAAAATAGTTTTTTCAAAATATTTCGAACAATATTTGATATATAACAGTGAAAATTGGTATACAAGGGTTTTTTGGTACGACAAAACGAACCATGGGCATAGTTTTACTGTAGCCGCTAGAGGGCGCTCTCTACTGTACCTGTAGTGTATTAAAATCACAGAAAATTTTTTCTTAGTGCAATTTTTTGCTTTTTGAATAAAAAAACTGATTCTTCGCACTTTTCTGCATAAAAAAGCTCTCCTGTGAGTTTTCGTTATAGTCAGCCGTTTTTGAGATATTTCGATTTTTAAGGTTCGATGCATTTTTAATTATTTATGGAAAAATAATATTTTTTTTTACATTTTCGATTTGGGCATTACAAGTAATTAAGATGATCGCTTAGATTGTGTTTTTAAACACAGCAATAATTCCTAACTCCAAACAAACACAAAAAAACAGAATATTAATTTGTTTAATTTTCCAATATTATTTTTAACAAATTAAATTAATTATTTACAACTAAAATGCTATTGGATAGTTAGGGCAAACATACAAAATCTAAAGTAGACTGGTCCTCCACGGCCGATCCATCTTTCTGGATAATTTTCGTCCAGCCAGTTTCTAACTATTCTCGAATAATGAGCTGGACAACCATCAAGCTGGAACCAGGCCAATCTTCTTAAATCTAACATAACATCATCCCACATATTTGCATGTTCAGCCTTTAAAAATTCCAAGAAGGTCGCAGCATTTAACCTTGGAGGCAAAAGGTAGGGTTCAAATAATCGATTACGCTAGATACCAATCCACACGTTCACACTAACTTCATGCTGAAAATTTCTTCCACGAACTGCATGCGGATTTTCATGCCACCAAATATGTTGATTATGAAAATTTACCACTCCACGTCTAGTGAAGCATGACTCATCGGTCCATAAAACGTTAGTTAAAAACTCCCTATTATTATTAGTTCTATCAAGAATCCACTGACAAAATGTGATTCTTCGTTCTCCGTCCCCTGGCTGTAGTCCTTGCACAGGTTGCAAATGGTAAGGACGTCTATAGTCATTTCTAAGAACACGGTGAACATGGCTTGCTGAAATTCCCAAGGCACCAGAAACTCTCCTAACACTTGTGGTCGGATCTCTATCAAACTCACGCAGAATCATACGGGTAAATCTGCGCTGACGAACATTTATGTTTTGATCCCTTTGGAGATTTCCAAAATCTTCGTGCGTATTCTTTGGCTGCTTCTGCTGCGTTTCCATTTACAAAGCCATACACAAAATGAATATCCGCTAACTCTTGATTGTAGATTATAAATGGCATTTTTATAGAACTTACAAAAAAAAACAGGTAAAAGAAACTAAATTTCGTGCATTCACAATTGCAAAAAAACGTTTCAGGTTTCAACAGACAACAAAACTAACAGTCAACTAATTGACGTTTAACCTTATTCTGCTTTCAATTTCAAAAATATTTGCAGGCACAGCCTACTTCTAAAAATTATCGAGATACTGAATTTTTAACGTTATTTTATCATAAATAATTAAAAATGCATCGAACCTTAAAAATCGAAATATCTCAAAAACGGCTAACTATAATGAAAATTCACAAGAGAGCTTTTTTATGTTGAAAAGTGCGAAGAATCAGTTCTTTTATTCAAAAAGCAAAAAATTGCACTAAGAAAAATTTTTCGGTCATTTTAATACACTCCATGTACATTAGAGAGCGCCCTCTAGCGGCTATAGTAGAACTATGCCCATGGTTTGTTTTGTCGTACCAAAAAACCCTTGTATACCAATTTTCACTGTTATACATCAAATATTGTTCGAAATATTTAAAAAAAAATATTTTAGAAAGTAAATTTAAACACCCTGTATTTCGGAAGCCACGAATTTTTCGACCCATGTCTATATAGACTTTATGCATTAATTTTAAAAGTTCTATCGAATCTTAAAGTTATGCAACAATAAACTGAAACCCCCTGTATAATATTGGACACTAAATACAAATATGAGAGTCGGAGATCGTGGAATATCGTGGGATGAAATTTGAGGTAAAAATGAGTCGCTGCTTGGAATTTCTTTTAGGTATTAGCGCCAAATTGTCGTCAGATTCACATACACCGGGTATACTAAAGTCACACATTTTTGTCTAGAACGCACATACATAGTTTTTGAAAATTATCTGATAGGAAACAAAAATTTCTGTTTTGGTCTCCAGTTGTCACAAAAGCAAATGAAACATGCACGTAAGGTGGAGAGCTGAATAAGAATTTAAGCACCAAAAATCTTAGAGAGAGTTTTATTTATTAAGGAGATGAGAAATTGTGAAACAAAACTGTTATTCGAAAATCGTCTCGGGCATAAGGCATGCCCTTGAATGTTTGCCCCATACTCAAAAAACACCCAGTATTTCCAACACGACTTACCTAGAGTGTCAGACCTGCTGAACCCTGCATTGCAATACTTGCACGGGAAGTTCTTGCCCGACGTGTTATGCACCGATGCCATCTGTTCTTGTTGCTGTTGCATCATAGCCTGCTGCTGCTGCTGTTCAGCCTGTTTCTGCCTTTCGAGGAAGTCATGGAACCGTTTGTGTTTCTCGTACTCTTCATGAGACTTGAAGTCCTTGTCGCACGGATTGCAACGGGGCACCAGGCTGATGCTATTCGAGCTGCGATGCTTTTCCAGGATGTGCACTTGAAGAGCAGTGTTATTGGGGAATTCCCCGGAGCATGTGTGACAACGGAATGAAGGGGCGTTTTGAACTCGCATTTGAGGGAGTGGGACTGCTCGGGGAATATCTCTGGCAACCTGGAAATATTGACATCGAAAAGTTTCAATCGTTCAAATTTTGAAAAATCCAAAACATCAATATATGGCTTCGAAGGGAATGACAAAAATATAAGCTTAAGGATTTTCAGATGTCTCGGTAGACAACTGATTTCTAGCAAAAAAAAATTCAAGCCACGTTTCTAGATTCCGTGTATTGGAATAACATGTTTGGAAGAGTCGGCATTTTAAAACAGGCGCTCAAGAAAACACAACCGCCAGCACGAAAAATCAACAAATATATTTTTAAAAAGTACAAACAATCCAACTGCAGTAACTAAAAACAATGAAACTTTAATTGTGTTAACAAGAGAAATCTAAATACACTCATGTCAAAGTTCATCAAATCGTTTAGCCCTGTAGCCTGTGAAATAGGAATTTCAACGTCGATTTTTTTAATTAAAATCCACTGATTGCTTTTTTATAATTTTATAATACACCCAGAGCCACTCGTACTGCAAATACAAATTCAACTGCACATCAAATCCAACAATTCAAGTTGTATCCCATAAAATCAAATTAAATACATACCCACGGGCGAAAAACATACCCCTCCTTCTTAGATATTCGGGTAACAATTAGAGCTGATTTTTAATGTCTTTCAACTCCCCAATAAATTTAAGGAATAGGCAAAAAGTACTTTACATACTTTTTAGTTGTTTTAGATCCTGCTTGTATCACTTTTTGGCTAGCAAGTCTTGAAAAATTCATATTATAATATTATGAGATTTTTCTACATCGTTTCTTTCTCTGTCTCGGAGTGAATATTAACTTATCATGGGATCTTTTTTACTGTTCTTATATAAACAGTCTGAACCAACACCTTGGTTGTTTTTATATATGAGCAAGTAAGCGCAAGTATTTTAGTTCTTTTATTCATTCCATTTTATAGAAATTTGCAATTAAAAGCTATAGCTTTTATACAGGGTGCGGCAGAGAGGATGAACGGTTTTAAAAAAATCATAAAATAGTTAATTTTTACTCGAAAACAAATTTATTGATGGAATCAGGTTCACAAGGAAATAGCATTTGAGACAGTCAAGTGTGGCAAATCACATCAGGCATGTGGTGGCCGAAATCGTTGATGCAGTGCTGGAGGCATTCTTGGAAGTTCGCGTAGACTCTCTCCAACATCGCTCTCTCAACTTGGGCGACTTCCACGCGAATTTCGCCCTTCAATTCGTCCAGAGTTCGGGGCTTGTTCGCGTATACTCTAGCCTTGAGGTGTCCCCATAAGAAAAAATCGCATATGGATAAATCTGGGGACCGAGGAGGCCAATGAACATCGCCAAACCTGGAAATAAGGCGGCCCGGGAAGAGAGGGCGAATAACGTCCATGGATGCTCGGTCTGTGTGGGCGGTCGCCCCATCCTGCTGGAACCACATACGTCGGATTGGAACACGTCGCCGTCGTAATTCAGGGAGAAAGAAGTTGGTGATCATGTCGGCGTAGCGCTCTGAGTTCACGGTAACATCACGACCATTACCGTCTTCGAAGAAGTAAGGGCCAATGATGCAAGTTTGCGATACAGCGAACCAAACCGTTACTTTTGGGCTGTGCAGCGGTCTTTCGTGTAACTGTTGCGGATTCTCATTAGCCCAATAGCGACAATTCTGCTGGATAACCATGCTGTTTAGGTGAAAGTGGGCTTCGTCACTCATAAACAAAAAGAGGTTCTCATTTTGATCGATCAGTGCTTCTATCTCACGTGCGAAGTTCATTCATTGTGCATAATTTCCGGGCTGTAACTGTTGCACAATGGCCAATTTGTAGGGGTGAAAGCGGAGATCCATATGCAAAATTCGCCTTACCGAACGATCACTAAGGCGAAGTGCAGCAGAATGTTTCCGGGCAGATCGAGTCGAACTGCGAAGAAAGACATGTCGAACGCGTTCAACATTTTCAGGAGTTCGAACTGTGCGCGGCGCTCCTCTTTGTCTTCTGTTGATCAGTTCACCACGCCTGCGAAGTGATTCAACCCAACGAAGGATGGTGTTTCGAGAGGGAACAGCTCTATTCCGATGAATGTTGAAGTGGCGACGAAGCTCACGCTGTACGACGATGACTGACTCATTATTTCGGACAAACAATCATAGGCGAAAACGCGGTGCTCCACCGTCCAAGGCTCCATAACAACAACTGGTAAAATAATGCTAGATCTCACGAGTCAAACGGCACCCTCCCCACCTCTCTCGTAGACGGTGGCGGAGAGTACTACCCATCCCAAAAACGTCCGTCGTCTCTGCCGCACCCTGTACTTCTTTAGTCAACTGACCCTATGTCATTAGAGGTTCCAGCATAAATTATTTTTCTAGGTAATTAAATAATGTAGGTAGTGAAAGTGACTCAAACAGTTATCCTTGTTTGTGAGCCTTACCTGTTGTATAACTTTGGACACTTTAGTATTCGAATCATTGGTGCCTCTTCTATGCCAGCCGATATGCGTGGACAGCGCATTTTGCGTATGGAAGGACTTATTGCAAATGCTGCAGGTAAATTTCCTGCCAGGATTCGCTTCCTTGATCTTCATTTGCTTTGGTTTCGACGACTCCCCATGTTCTAAGTGCATGTGTTTAGCCAATGAAATCACAGAGTCGAACTGGATCTTGCAGTATTTGCAGAAAACGGATTTGCTTGTAGCTGGCTGCTGCGCCATCTCTTGGGCGTGCATCTCCTTATGCCTCATCTAGAAGAAAATAGTTTAGGTCAAACAAAGGTTTAAAGCGAAGGCGGACCTAAGGTGACGCACTGTGCGTCAGGCTCTGACACTTAATGGGGCTCCATACTAGCTAAATTCATCTAGATGGGAGAGGGGACATACAAACTGTGTGCTTCGAGCAAACCGATCGTACATCGACCATTGAGTTTAAGCCAAAAGTGATATATGATCATAATGTGTATTAAGTTGCAAACTTCAATTTTTAGCATTTCTCATGTATTTTATCATTTTATATAATTTATAAATGGCTTTGTATAAGATGCTTGAATGTGTCAGATCGTAACTCATTGCTAAGAAATACTATAAATACAAATGCACCTAATACTCAGTTTATATACAGTACTCCACATACTCGGAGCATTTTACCGAGTGCCCTTTCTAGTTTTTGAAAATCGGTTCAGTGCCAAAAACGAAAATATTCCTTTTTTGACAGTTCAGAGGATCCTGATCATTATTGAAAAAAAATGCAAGGGTCAAAAATTGAGGGTAGAGAGCGGACCGCCTATACAAGGTGGGCGCAATATTGTCTATATATAGGAACACAACTGATAACATCAACTAATGAAAGTTTTTGAGGTTATAGCAGCCATTGTACTGCTCCAAATGCGTAGTAGTCGTCTGCACACTTTTAGTATATTATTTAGAACAGTTTATACAAAATTTTGTACAAAATTAAGGATAGTGTCAGACAGCATTTAGTACATAATTTTGTATAAACAAATTTAGTGCTAAATTTTATAAAAACTGTTCTAAATAAAATCATACTAAAAGTGCACAGACGACTACTGCGCATTTGGAGCAGTACAATGGCTGATTTACCTCAAAAACTTCCATTAGTTGATGATATCAGTTGTGTTCATCAGTTTCGCGAAACGCACCAAATTCTTTTACGGTTTCGTTTACTTCGTTTCCTCATGAGGAGCTACAACGCAGATCGCTGCTGCCACAGTCACGTATAATGCGAATTACGGAACCGCTTATTTTCTACAATTTTCTATTCGTTTTAAGATAAAGGAGTAAAGTAGTAACCGCACAGGAAAGTGTGGTTAGAATGACTTTGACGTGATAAATGATAGTTAGAAGTTGACATTTATAGGTTTTTTCTACCATCTGCGTATGATTTCGTACGAAATTTAGTACAAAAATTTCTTTACGTGTCAGACAGGATTTTAATTTGTAAACAAGTTGGGAACTAAATTCAGTAACGAATTTTTTCACGAAATTTAATACCAAATTATGAACATAATTTTGTATCGTACAGACGGCCTTTATACAGAATTTAATTATTTAGCCGATATATCATACTACAATCAAACTTAGATCCTGTCATAAATGAAACCAAGTTTGCGGCTAACATTGCATTTTGAGAATGATACGCAACGTCGGCACAACGCGGTAGAAATGCGTCTGGATGTCAGTTTTTGGAGGTGAAAGGGAATGTAATGTACTATTTGTCAATTTTCAAATACCTTTATTCTGGGAAAACCTACCAGTGCATGTTTGCTTTCAAAAGTGGCCACACACACATCGCAAGTATACACGATATACGGCTGTCGTTGCATGACCATCTCCTCATCAGGCTCTTGTTTGATCTCCGTCTCCAACAAAGACATCGCATCTCCAGGATGTTCGATCATGTTGTGTTGTAGAAGCTCCTCAGTGGTTCCAAACACATCCTTACAGACGCCGCAGGTGTAGCCCTGCTGATGCGTTTTCATGTGGTTCTTCAGATTCGACTTGGAACCGAACACTTTCGAACAGTGTGGGCACGTGTGGTACTCTTCCTGAGGTTGCATTGGAGGTGTAGCAGATTTTCGGTTTTGTTGGGTGTACATCACCATTCTTGCGTTGGCGTCAGTCGGAATCCTGTAAGAAATATAGGTATTATAAGAACAGTAACGAACCACAACGGAAAATGTACTAAATTGACATTTGGCGCAAGTGTGTGCCTTTACCAGCAGCAATATAACTGTTACCTAGATGAAAAGTCACTCACAGATTCAGGGTAATATTAGCGCTAATCGACTGGCAAAAAGAACTGTAGACATACAGACTCAGCTCTACTGCATTTTTCCCGATAGAGCTATTACAAAACTACGCTTAAAAGATCACACTCATAGAGCCTTCAAAAAACATGTATAATAACATGTTCGACAGCTTATTGACTAGAGAAATATTGAGCTATCCTAACACGTACTTCTCCACTGGTTCATTAGAAAACTTACGCATCCTTTTGCACTGAGAAATCGTGGTCAATTAAACAGTGTGTGCTGGAAAATTTTCATTACCCGTAATGATTTTTTTAATTATTCTAACTAAATTCGGTTAAATTTAACTGAATTTTCTGGAACCAGTTTAATTGATAGTAATATACTATTAAACTAATTTGCTTAAAAATATCACAGCATGTACCTGTTTTATTAAACTGTTTAATCAGCTTTGGTTAATTCTTTTATGTAGAAAACGTATATTAAACATTTCATTAAAAACACTTAAACTGTTTATTTGAATCGCGGACTAGGAAGGACTCGGCCCTTCATTCGTGAATGATCTAGAGTATGCTACAGACGCAGTGCCGGTGACGCGCTTCAACTCGCCTGTTTAGGATGGTTACAATATTTCTAGCTCCAAATGAAACATTGTGCAAAGGGTGCCGGCCTGATGGAATGGGAAGAATTTGTAGTATTATCAATGCAGCCATATTTAGGTCAATGAAGGGCATTTGTACCAAACAAGTGCTTAACATAGGCTTGATGTTCTTTTGTTTTCTATTGTATAATGTATATTATAGGAAATGGAGCCTACTTTTGGTGTAGACTTTGTAGTATTTGAAAATGTTCTAGTTTGTTTAAAGTACTGTCGAATTTATACATATGTATATATAAATGCGTTGCATGTGGGTTAGTGTAATATTATTATTATAAATAAAAGTACAATTTTTCTATACATAATAAAATCGCCGTATCAAGTTTAAGGTATCCCTCTCCCTATTTTCTGAATTTAAAACAAACAATTACTTCTAGTGAATGATGGTAACATATTATAACCTGTTTCTGGACAAACAGATAAATAATTGGTAAAATTTGATCACATATATAATAAATTCACAATTAATCAAAATTAGAAATATCGAATTTACGGTTATGAGGTTCGGAAGTTTTTACTTTGATCTAAAAACATCAACTATCAATATAGCTAGCTATCCAATTTTTTTTATATCTAATGTTTGTCAGATCACATTTATAATATATGTACATCATTCAGTAAAAGGCAATTTGTTTTTTTAAATTCCATTCCGTCATCCTTGAAGTCTAGATAAAATGATTATTTAATACTAGAAAACACTTTTAGCTAAGCTAGTTAAACAAATTTAATATATACAATTAAATTGTTTTACTTGGAGCAGATAAACTCATTTTAATAGCTTATTCATTTTAAATAAATTGATATAATCAATTTAAGTGACCTAATTAAAATTTTGATTTGTTTAATTAAATCCTTTTATTAGTGTGTAAAAATTTAATTCAACGTAAATAATATTATAAAAACTGTCTCGTACCTATCTTTCTCGTGTATCATCTTATGCCTAGCATAAGCGGCACCACTCAACAGCACCTTCTCGCAGTACTTGCACTGCTTCGGGTACTCTGTACTGGCAATGGACTTCTCTTCCCCAGTATGCTTCCTTCTGTTGTGGTCCCACAGACCGCTGTAAGTGTGATAAGTCTTATCGCACGGTGTGCAGGTCCAGGTTCGTTGGTCGTCAACGTCCACAGGTTCTTTTTTGATCATGCCGCCGTTTTGGAGGTTCTGGAAGTGGCCCAGTTTGTGTTGTTTAAGCTCTTCCCTGGAGTGGAAAATTTCCTCACAAATCTCGCAGAGTAACATCACCTGCTGAAAACAGGTATAAATAACCCTTACTTGAGAAAAAGTAATTTAACAAAAAAAAAAGAGAAATGGAATGTACAAAACAGCTTCACAAAAAATAAATAACCGCAATTATCAAGAACTGTGTGACTGTTGTTACAGATAGTTGTACGGTTTTTGGGTACCTAAGTACTTGGCCAAAGCAATCTTATCAGAACAAATTTCTACACTGCAGTAAATGCACCACCCTCCTACCCTGTGCGGTCCCTCCACCACCCCTGTTCCAGGCAACCTCAAACCCTTGAGGAGTGGGGGGAAGAGCAATCTGCTCCTCCCTATCTCCCGCCCGAAGGCCTGGCGTGGCGCTGCGTGGTTCTGCCGTTGCGCATTCCCCGAGTGTATGCTGCCGAACGAGCTAACCCCCCTCTCCAATTTTGCCCCTTTTTCCCGAAATTTGACTCGATCGCGCACGCGTCGCGGAAGCACGTGGTGGACGTTTCATCCAACTGACGGTTCTCGACTTTTATGGACGGCCTCTTCTTGGGGGTCCTGCGCTGGGGGCTTTGACCTAAGCCCCGCATTAAGGTTGCAGTAAATACACGATGCAAATGTCCTGTTTATATACCCTGCTTACTCATTTCGGTCGGACCAGAGACTGAGCGCTTCCCCGCCAGACACTACACGTGTTTGAGCTGCATCCCATGAAATAGATATTTCAAAGTAATTTCCCGGATATGCTATTCCAGACTATATCTCTGTACCAAATTTCATCCAGATCAGTTCAGCAATTTTGGCATCATTGAGTAACAAACATCCACTCATTTATAATATTAAGTAGGTATTTTTCCAGCATACCTCTGATCCAGGACTGATCATGGCCGTCTTCAGCGAATGCGTCTTCGAGTCCCTGTACACCTTAATATTCAAATGCACGCTCCTGTGCTGGTCCAACTCTGTCCTAAACTGGAACATCCTGCCGCATTCTTCACACGCAGTGGGCTGGTGTTTGGCCATTAAGTGCTGTCGCCACTCGGGCAGTCTGAACATCTCTTCGCAGTCTGGACACGCATACACTGACTCATTTTCATACTTGCGGATCTCTTCTTCGCTGTGCGTTTTGAAATGGCGCATCATGTTGTGGTAGCTTGAATATTCTTTGTTACAGATGGGGCATGCCTTGGTGCCGGACCTAAAGACGAAAAGATGTTTATTATTCAAGGTGATGAAAAAAGACAATATCAACATTTCTATGATAAATAAATAAAAGAACTGATCGCATAAGAAAAATACTAACCTCGGTGTTATGGAGTAGGGATGGTTATAGACGCTTACATATGGCTCATCCTTTTCTTTGGGTGTTGCAGATCTATTAGGAGTAGGCATTATTATGTCTATGGGCTTGGGAGGTCGTCTTTCTCTCTTACCAGTCACGATTGCATTTTCATCCACGGTCTCTTTTGGTTTAGGAGGAGACTGCATCATAGCCTTTCTCATAGCATACCTGTTGAAAGAGAATATATATGATTTCTAATAATAAAAAAGGGATTAGTCAAGTCATTTCAATAGGTGGAATCTAATCACGACTAGGTAGGTTCACTTAGGTACGATGAATCTTCGACCTCTGCAGATCAAAATATATAAACATATTTCTGTTCCCGTGGCAGATGTAGGGAAAACATGTGTGACTCATTATGTCTAACAGGTGCATATTACCGGGATCAGCAACTTCTTAATGACACTGACACCAAACGCAACAATTTACAACCATGAACCGCATACAGCTTGCCTACAATATAAAACCCCTCCGAACAATGTCTGAAAATAAACAGGAATCTGACACGTTGTAATACTATGTTCCAGCGATGTTTATTGTTTTGTCCGTAGTTCCGCCGCCACTGAATCAATTTTCAAAATCTACGACTACTTAAACCTAAACGATGTAATATAAAATTCGAACTTCAGTTCACAAGTCTTCTGTTGCTTAAAGACGTAAGTCCGTCGATTTGTCATTCCGTATCAGTTTATCAAGGCGTAATAAGTACTGAGTCACTATACTTGAAGAAACATTCATACAACCATCATATGCTGAGCAACTCAAATTAAAGGTTATTCGAGATGGACCAGTACATTATTTAAGGGTCATAAAATTCAGAAAAATATATGTATAGTCATCATTTACAGAGGCATCGCAGAACGATAAAGTGGTACGTACTCATGATACTGAAATCTTCAAATATTCGCCGGCAGAGGTGTGGCGGTGTGTCCGTGTGGATATCGAGTTTGATGCACCGTCACAGTATCGCGTCGTGTGCGCACATTGAAATTTTTTCGAATTTTGAGCACATTCTTTATCGAGCTTTTATCGTTTGATTTTATCGTTGTTACCGGGATCAAATAGAACGTCTTTGAATGATACTATAGACGTAACATTTCCAACTCCTTACCCCCTACAACCGCCAATCCCAATTATTTTTTTTTTTTCGAAAATGACCAGGAGCATCTGAAACGTCAAAAACCGTTTCAACGGTTTTTATTTTTTTTGTCTTTTTCTCCGCCGCCATTGGACCGATTTTCAAAAACTACAAAGTTTTGTCGTCCTTGGCATAGTAGTAACATTGTGTAAGCGGATAGTCCGACGGAAATGATTGTCGTGATGTACAAAAATGAGCGATACAAGTTGCACACACCTCTTACATTTTCTGGCAATCAAAAATACCCGAACTGCAACGTTGTATCAGCCCGGAAGAGGGTAAAAGCATGATTGATCCCGAAAGGTAATTGTAGATAAAAAGAACCGCATTCTCTAGGGGCCGGCGGCTTGGTTAAATTTTCTCCAGTGGCGGCGGGCTATTGCTGTTGATGAGGTTGTAGGCTTAATTAAATTCCCAATATGGTGTGATTTTCAAAGCAGATGACATCTTTATTTGTAAACTCCAGACTTTTCAAAAGCAAAATACTTTTTTAGAATTTCAATATTTAGGGAGAAGCAGGTAGTTTAATTAATTAGTAGAGGGTAGGTCGGATATTTGGTATTGAATGGGCAAGCCGTAAGTATTAGGCTACCGAAGCCTTAAATTCAGTCGCATCTAAAATGTAAATATGAAAAACATTTAGATTACGAAATTAACGCTGGACATATATACTCCTTGCTACTAATTTCATTTACTATGTAAAGTATTTCATCAGTATCTAGTTTAAACATTTTCTGTCTACATGCTTCTTGCTTTGTAGACATAGGTTTTGACACTTTTAGCGGAAATCAAAGTATATAAAATTTTTGATTTTTCGAGAAATCCTCCCAAGGTCAATACAAACAGATACTTCGGTCACGACTTGAAGACACAGGTGGATAAAGGTGTTCGTAACATTTTTTAAAACTTGCGTTTTTTTGCATTAGCACGGAAATTTGAAACGTGCTCATAAAAGTGATGTGTAGTTGTGCCACTCCCAACTAACAATTATCAATCCGGTTAAGGTTGCAAGAATGTTTAAGCAGTATTCTAACACAGCATTGTAGGTTACAAGAGCATTGGCAAAGCGTTCTAGGAACAGCTATACAAGCGGAATTGGCGTACCTAATAGAACACTTCTGTATAAGGGGTGTAGGTAATAGTTATACAACAAAATTGTAAACACTCTTGCATCCGCTAGAGAACCTTTGCATCAGTGCAAGATTCAACATTTGTCAACTATACAACCATTCTGTTATATTGTTCTACTGTATTGCAACTAAACTATTTTTTATGTATTGTGTAGGAGAAGTGAAGAATATTTTCAAACTTACACATTACATGCATCTTGTTTACTGACATATCGGCCATTGTGAATTTCATACACAAGTAGTTATATTATGAGCTTCTACACTGTGATATATGGCTATTGAATGATTTGCGCAGCAAATTTTATTGTCATTATCGTACAAAGTAGTGACGTAATTTCTTCGGACTTCGTATTTGGTTCTTATATTAATATTGATCAAGAAAATGTCTAGATTTTTAAGATGAAAATCTGGAATTATCTGCTTTAAATCTTCCACAAATCCTATATTCAGACAGAGTTACATTATTGTTCACCATTTTCTATCTTTAATGTCGGAGTGAAACAGAATTATTTGATTTTCAATAAAGGACTATATTCTTTATACAGTATGGCGGGTGGTTATGTCTCATCAGGGGGTTACATTTCACAAAGGGTATGGCATCTTCATCTGAAGTGATTTCATACCTTTTAATGATATCTACAGAGTAATGCGTAGATTGGCATGCCATTGAGTAATCGTGTTTATACAGGGGAATCAATAGCATTTTCTGGAAAATATTGCAGCTTGACAAATAGGTGCTTTAGCATTCCACTCACTGTCGATAACCCACCTGTCGTTCTGGTTTCCTTGACACTGTGCAATCTCAATAACCGCTATACGGATTCTAACAAAGCTTGGAGTAGTAGGGTCACAAATTTGGAAATGGGTATAAGGACGCTAAGTTAGTACCCAGAACAGAAATCAGAATATCCAAACTTAATGCTTGCATCCTAAAAGCTTTTTCAGTGTAGATGAAAACAATAACTTAGTTTTTCAAAAGTTCGTATCAAATTCCAAAAATGTTGGAATAACAATGCTCGCCTTTACATCATTAGTGGAGCACCAAAATATCAGCACCCCACTTCCTGCTTGGTGTGCGACACGTGAAACACTTCTGACAGTGTTTTGCGGACAACTAACTGCAGGTGACCTTCATTTCCTGGATTTTTCTCCTCACTACCAGATATATCCCACTTAAACTGTACGCAGGATTTTGGATACCACAATATCATTTCAGATACCTTGCCAAAAACTGTTTTAACGACGAAGTGACGCTTCTCTTCCATAGTCCATATTATTTCGACACTACCGAGATACTTTTAGAACCAGCATAAGTTCTATGAAAATATGTCTTATTAAACTCTTGAATTTAAACTAAACACAACCATAACCATATGCAAAAAGTAAATATTATAAAACTGGAAACGCACAACAGAATACTTCTGTCAAAAAGTGGAACAGCCAAAACTCTACTTAAATATGCGTCCAAGGACTTCCAGTGGAAACTTAGCAGCACTCCACAACAGTTTTATACTTCAGAAAATAAAGCCTTGAATGTTTGCAGAATATTCTTAAAATTATCTGTGTTCACTTACCCATCATCCTGCTTCAGGATGAATCCTTCCGACTCATCATGAGCTTCTTCTGCATGCTTCTGGAACTCCTCCACGCTATCCGTGGTAATGAAACAGATATCACAATAGAACTCAACCAAGCAACTTAAATACACATGGTCTTTGTAATCCTCCAAATTATCAAACTCCCTCTCACAACTACATTGAACCGGCAATACTACATCACAATGTTCTTCATCAACATGCTTCATGAAATCTTCATGAAAACTGAACATAAACTTGCAGCTTGTACATTTGAAGTTTTGGTATAGCCTCACTTTGACCTCACTCCTTTTCCTTAGGTTACTCAGCTTTGTTAAAGTGTCAAGTGAAGCGCTGGGACATTTCACGTTATGTCTTGTAAAAGTAGATCTATCAGTAAATGTGATCATGCAATTGTAACATGTGAATACAGGAAACCAAATACGCAAAGATCTCAAATGTGACAAAAGTCCTTTGAGGTTTGGATGATTCACATTGTGACAAGCGCATTCCAACGTTCTATGCATTTTTACCATAGCCTTGCACTTTTCGGCGTAGCTTAGTTCTATCTTTGATAACATTTCGCAAGATATCGGCGTTGTATTACTCTCCAGAAGCTTCAAGCCTGCCGCGAAAAGGATTTTTTGTTGGTTAGCTTCATCTTTAGGCTCAGATGATTCCACAGGTTCATCAGTATTTTCGGTTTCTGTTAGCTCTTCCTCAGCATTTTCTATAGACATTGTTTCAGGCAGCCCTTCTTCAGGTTGGGTCGTAGATGCTTCTTGAGTTAGTTGCTCATTGTATTCAGTGAATTGATGTTGTTCAGCCAATTGATCAGTTTGGCTTCCTGTCTGATCTTCAGATTCTTCACTAGTGCCTGATGGTTGAATTTGTTCTCCATTTTGTTGTGATTTTTTTGGTGAGATTTCTGCAAAAAAAATGCAAGTTGAGTAGACTAAAGATTAAGTGCACAGACAACACAAATATTTTAGTCAAATATAGATATTTCATTGATGATTTTGAAACGCTTTTATAGTAAATAGGCTTATTACGTAAATTACATCCTCATAAAACCAACATAAAACCTTATTATCAGTTTTGTGTTGCGCAATGATGCTACAGGTTCTGCGTTGTACGAGTTTGGTTCATAAATTTTTTTATTCACCAATAACATGAATGACAATTTTTATGGGCATCAAAACCAAGCATAAGATATCATGAGATAAAATCTTCATAATACTATTTGGCAAATACATAGGTTTATAAATATTTATCAACCAAATGGTGTTGAAAACATCCAATTACTGCTTCAATTTGGATTTCGTTTCTAGGACATCAGAAAATCCAAGTGATGTTCATTATATTGAATAAGGTGTTTTGTCCAGAAAAACCGTCCACTTCGGCAACTCCTCAATCCACCATTTTGAAATTTGGAGTGCTGAATTTTGGTTAAAAAAAACTTACATACCTCAGCTTTTATCTTACTTGTAACTTTTTCGAATTTTTATTTTTGCTCATACAGGATGGTCAAAAACGCGAATTGTACTTTTTCTCAAAAATTTCAAATGCATCATCCTGTATATTTGTGCAAGTGTGGATTCAATTTTCTTATAAGCTATTTTTTGGTATAAGGTTTGATTCAGATAAAGTCACTAGATTTTGAGTTTTAAGCTTTTAACAGAACAACACACCAAAATTATGGAAAAAAATCACATCATCCATGGAAACAAAAGACAAACAGTGGGCCAGTTCCATATTGCCACTAAGAGAACCGATTTGACGTACAAACTAATAAAAATCAGAACAGTATAAATCAGCTTCAAGCGTAATAGAGAAAAACAACTATAACAACAACATAAACAAACACAACTATCACTACTCAAGACTTAGTCTATCAACATTTTTCGAAAGTATCTCCACCATGTTGAATACACAGCGCTAGTCTTTGGACAAATAAATGACCGTTGCACATCCCTCAGCATGTGTTCCCTTATGTTCAGAAAAGCATCCTTAATCCTTTGCTTCATATTTTCCGGGGTAGATGGTGGATATCTATAAACCTCTTGCTTAACGTAGCTCCATAGAAAGGAGTCCATCGGTGTCATATCTGGTGATCTAGGAAGCCCATCACGACCGATTCAACGATTGTTACTCCAGGTGTCCAAATAGTTACGCACACGATTCTGATACTGCGCAGGTACGCCGTCATGTTGGAAGTACATATGCATCCGAGTTAGCAGGTTGACATCCTCCAAAAGCAAAGGCAAATGCAAGATCAAAAAATTCAACTATTCTGTACCTGTTAATCTTTTGTCAAAAGAGAAAGGCCCAATAACTCCTCCCCAAACATTCAAGCTCCATTTATTTTGGAAATCTATTTGCCTAACCCAGTAAGGGTTTTCCGTCGCATAATAGTGCACGTTATGCCTGTTGACAACACCTATGCTGTTAAAAGTTGCTTCATCGCTAAAAAGAACCTTATCCAGGAAAGTAATGTCTTCACTCACTTTTATAGCATTATTCTACTAAACTCCATTCGAGATGCGAAATCCTGAGGACGAAGGCCTTGATGCAAGCATAGGTGATATGGATAGTACCTTTGCTTGTGAATAATCCTTTGGACAGAAGTTCTGCATATATCAGTTTCTGCTCCAATTCGTCGTGCACTTAAATTGGGATTTTCCTGCAACTTTAATAGAATCTCCAACTGATTCGCCTTATTTCATTATTTATACATTTGTTACTATATTCCACTGCTCCACTTGATTCGAAACGTTCTCGTAGTGTGGAAAATGTTTCCGGCCTTGGATGTCGCATATTCGTATATGAGGGTACCGTTGCTTATAAATGCGAGATGCTAGGAAACTATTTCTTTGGGCTTCGCCCAAAACAAACACCATATTCACCATTTCTTCTTTAGAAAAATTCATTTTCTAACACGTTTTTATTAAAATGCTCACAAAGCTAATGTTGATAGTTTATAACTAATCAACAATTTATTTGTTTCCAAGGATGATGCGATATTTTATGGAATTAAGCCGCGTTCAATAAAAGACGTGCTAATAACCGAAAAAATAGCCGTAAAAACCCTTGTGTCTGGTATCAAAAAAAGCTTATAAAAAATTGCATCAAAACTTGCACAGATAAACAGGGTGATGCATTTGAAATTTTGGGAAAAACTACAATTTGCGTTTTTGACCACCCTGTATGAGCAAAAATTAAAATTGGAAAAGGTAACAAATAAGATAGCTGAGGGATGTAATTTTTTTTTGATTCAAAATTCAGCTCTCCAAATTCCAAAATGGCGGACTGAGGGGTTGCCGAAGTGGGTTTTTTTTAGACGAAACACCTTATATCTCAGTAGCTAATTACCAAAACCCCATAGTATGTTATATCAGTTTTCTTATTTAGAGTTGGTTTATCCAAATCTGCAATAAAATTTCAAGCATTCCATTTGAAAAATCACAACTTTGATATGTAGGTCGAAATTGGGACATCCTGTATAATATTTTAGAAATGTGGCCTCAAATGTCATGTACGTATATAACATCGCATAAATAGATTTTCCCAAAATGTATTTGGTTATGAGTAATATTCCGTCCACACATGGATGGGCCAGCCTGTATATATATATATATATATATATATTACGAGTATATATATATATATATATATAAAGAGAAAATAATCATGCGGAGAAATGTATATAACAAAAAATAGGAAAATAATGTGCAAAATCCGCAAAAAGGAGGGAAGTGGATTCGAGCAGAAAATAGGATAGGTAACCCGAGCGATACGTATTTCTGCTGGTTGGCTTCATCCGGCCCGAAATGAATGCACATATGCAACAACAAAAGTAGATGCACATGCTCATACATCCGGATACGGGTGTAACCTGAGGAAACAAAGATGGAGGGGAAAAAACACACACGAAGTCCACAACAAGAGCCAACCTTCACATTGTAGTATAAAATAGCTAGAAGACCTCGAATTTTCAAGGCGACATCTACCCACAACCACGCGGCCGGTTATAGCCACTTGCTGTGGTACTTCAAGCCCAAAGGATCTACAAAGAGAAAATAATCATGCGGAGAAATGTATATAACAAAAAAAAGGAAAATAATGGGCAAAATCCGCAAAAAGCAGGGACGTGGATTCGAGCAGAAAATAGGATAGGTAACCCGAGCGATACGTATTTCTGCTGGTTGGCTTCATCAGGCCCGAAATGAATGCACATATGCAACAACAAAAGTAGATGCACATGCTCATACATCCGGATACGGGTGTAACCTTTGTTGTTACATATGTGCATTCATTTCGGGCCTGATGAAGCCAACCAGCAGAAATACGTATCGCTCGGGTTACCTATCCTATTTTCTGCTCGAATCCACTTCCCTCCTTTTTGCGGATTTTGCCCATAATTTTCCTATTTTTTGTTATATACATTTCTCCTCATGATTATTTTCTCTTTGTAGATCCTTTGGGCTTGAAGTACCACAGCAAGTGGCTATAACCGGCCGCGTGGTTGTGGGTAGATGTCGCCTTGAAAATTCGAGGTCTTCTAGCTATTTTATACTACAATGTGTAGGTTGGCTCTTGTTGTGGACTTCGTGTGCGTTTTTTCCCCTCCATCTTTGTTTCCTCAGGTTACACCCGTATCCGGATGTATGAGCATGTGCATCTACTTTTGTTGTTGCATATGTGATTCATTTCGGGCCTGATGAAGCCAACCAGCAGAAATACGTATTGCTCGGGTTACCTATCCTATTTTCTGCTCGAATCCACTTCCCTCCTTTTTGCGGATTTTGCCCATTATTTTCCTATTTTCTGTTATATACATTTCTCCGCATGATTATTTTCTCTTTGTAGATCCTTTGGGCTTGAAGTACCACAGCAAGTGGCTATAACCGGCAGCGTGGTTGTGGGTAGATGTCGCCTTGAAAATTCGAGGTCTTCTAGCTATTTTATACTCCAATGTGTAGGTTGGCTCTTGTTGTGGACTTCGTGTGTGTTTTTTCCCCTCCATCTTTGTTTCCTCAGATTACACCCGTATCCGGATGTATGAGCATGTGCATCTACTTTTGTTGTTGCATATGTGCATTCATTTCGGGCCGGATGAAGCCAACCAGCAGAAATACGTATCGCTCGGGTTACCTATCCTATTTTCTGCTCGAATCCACTTCCCTCCTTTTTGCGGATTTTGCACATTATTTTCCTATTTTTTGTTATAATATATATATATATATTTGTCCTTATTTTGAATGAATGGAGAACAATCCTATCACGTAGAAAGCTGTTTCTGGTACTCTGAGTAGCGGTGTCGTCGTGTACACCAGAGTTGCCAATCCATATCCGATTCAGCTTATATGGTTTTCAACATTCTATAAAAGTTTATTATATATATATATATATATATATATATATATTCCTATTTTTGCTATATATATAATAAGCTATATACTAATCAACTGGATTAGGCTGACAGAGCGAGAGAGCTGCTGAGTTGAACCAGAGAACAAACGGTTCGATTAGGTGAGATGGAACAAGCTCGCCAACCGTGCAACAACCGACGAACACTGCAACACCGAAATTGTGCACTAGTTGGATATATTTCAGTAGATTTGCTACTTTGTCCAATGTTGCAGTAAAGGATTGGGGTATATCCGAAATGAAATTCAAACAAATAAAAAAATAATACTTGTACGAATATACGCCAAATGTTTATAATCATAAAAATGATGAAAGGAAACTATAGATTTTATTTTGCTGCCTCTGATAAAAGAAAGCGACTAAATTTTAATTGCGTTAAGATTGCGTCCTACGGTTAGACGTAGAGTTCAGCCGGTTTCATGGGCACTTGCAGAAAAAATTTCAGGGAGGCAACCATGGGCAAGATGTGAAAGCGTACCTGCTCCCAAAACTTTTAGAAGAGCGGGTGGCATTGAATTTTCTCAAGGGGGGGAATCCAAAAAATTCTCAAAATTGGATATAAAATTATGCTAAATATACAAATTTTAGGTTCCACCCAGATTCTCAGGGGTGGCGACGGCCAGTTGTCCGAGAACTAAACTCCATTCAAGGGCCCCCAGAGCAGGGCAAATGTCACTGACGAACATTTTAAAACTTTCCCCCAACCCTGGAATAATTTTGACTGCATTTTGGCCTGCTGAATCCGTATCTGGCTTCAGATTTTCAATATCAGCCTCCAATGAGGAGGGAGCGACATATGCTTCGATACTAAGAAAAATTCAATAAAAACTCCCTTTAATGCCGATTTATTAAATTTGAACAATTAAAAACTTACAAATATATACAAATTTTATTTATATTATCAGTAAGATTATGTACAGTATAAACATGTTCAAGTAATTTTCGATAAATTCAATATTTATTGCCTTAACGTCTTTCTTTTATAAGAACTACTGGATGTGTCTCGTATTAAAGTCCAGCAATAGTCGGCTAACATATTCAGGCTCCACTTTTCAGTATAACTTTTTTAACGATCAAATGAACTTACCTTAAGGAAGTTCGATCGAAATTATATGAGGCGTCCAGTCCAAAGATGTTTATTATTTCACCACGTAGTCCGCCCTGTCGTGCTACCAGCCACAAGGTTTTTAAAGCAAAATCCCCCTCTGCTACGCCCGTGTTCCTGTATATGCCGCAGCTTTCCCCTTCTACAGTCATTTAGTTGAAATCATTCCGTTTTGTGCATAACCCATCAGGGTAGGGCATGGGGGGGAGCTTACATCTTTGGACTGGACGCCTCATATAATTTCGATCGAACTTCCTTAAGGTAAGTTCATTTGATCGTTAAATTATACTTCGGCGTCCAGTCCAAAGATGTTTATTATTTCACCACGTAGATGTTTAAAGATGTATGGGTTATGACACGAACGGAAATAAAAAGTATAAGGCTTTGGTGATCAAGCATTTATTGGGAGAACGATGATATATTGCAAAACTCAAACAAAACTCTATGTGATACAGTGTGTAACATAACTCAAAATGAACGGTTGCTCCTAAACGCAACGTTTAATGCAACTTCATGCGATACAACGTATGAAGGGAGCATAAAAGAAAAATGTCATTTGAAATAAATTCTAAAGTTTTGCCACCGGCAAAATTCAAACAAAAACCCGTGCGGTATATCATAAACATAAGTAAATGCTTATTCCTGTACGTCCAAAACGTTTAATGCAAACTGTTCTCTAAATATTAGAGGTCGATTATAAAATTTCGCGAAGGTTTCAGAATTCCTACTCCATCCTGCTGAATCCCTTATAATGTCCAAAGAAACTCCGGCTCTGCTAGCGGCAGAAGTTGACGCATGCCGGCTAGAATGCGGCTTGAATATGTTAGTATCAATCCCTGCCATTTTGAGGGTGTCTCTTACCCACCGACTGAGAATTTGTTTGGAAGCGGTTTGGTATGGTTTTTGGGTTGTTAGGAACAAATACTCGTCATTTTGATTCCTTAATGCCGCAGTTTCTGTGACGTAGGATGTCAGACAATTTGCTACGCATAATTGAGGTCTGTCATTGAACCTTGGGATTATCAGACAAGGCTGCTTTGATCTCGGTCCCGATGTTTTGATCGTCTCGTCTATCAAAATTTGGACACAGTCGCAGGTTTCCCGTATATTGCTAATTTTTATTTTCGATATAGTCTGCAACCTTTGTCCTGTTGCCAACAGCAATAGGGTCACCAGTTTCATTGAACGTTGTTTCAGGGAAGTTGTCTGATGCGCTTCCAGAAAATCTAGGACTTGTTTAGGGTCCCAAATGAGACTATATCTTGGCTGCTGTGGTCTTATTCGAGATATGCCCTTCATAAACCGTTTTAAGATGGGATTATCCCCTGATTTATATGGCAAAATCAATGAAAGCGCTGACCTGTGAGAGTTGAAGGATCCAAATAGACAATCATTCTTATCAAGAATGCTTTGCAGAAAGGTGATAACTTCACTAACCTGGGCATTAAATGGCGAAGTATTATGAGCCTTACAAAACTCCCACCAGAGTTTATATGTGACTCCGTATTGTTTTATTGTAGCTTCAGACAAGGATTGCAATGTCGTTTCGACTGCACACTCGGGAACACCTTGCATCCTTAGGGCTCGCCGGATAGTCTCGCCGCTACCAGGGTAAGGTTCCCCGCTAAAGGATGTTCTGCGCTGCTGAAAGGTGAAATCAATAGATCCGGTTGTGGCTCAAAGAAAATGGGTTCTCCTCTACAAAGCCTAATGAAAAGTGGATACCACGCTTGGGAAGGCCAAAACGGTACCACTAGTATCCCATTTGCTTTGTCATTTATTATTTTTTGTATAACTCTCAAAACTACGGAAAATGGTGTAAATGCATAGAAGTTGATGCCCGTCCACGGAATAGTGAAGGCATCGCATGCAAATGATCCAGGGTCTTTCAGCCACGAAACATACCTTTTACATTTATAGTTGTTTCGAGATGCGAATAAATCTACGTTAGGCGCACCCAACCTTCGGGTGATTTTGGCATATGCCCAATCCGCTAGAGACCATTCTGTCTCTGGCTGTAATCTTCTGGATTCTGTGTCCGCCACCCAATTATCTTTTGTATTTATATAGGCGGCCTGTATCCATATGCCTCGAATCTCGCACCACTGCCATAGTTGCTTAGTTAGTTTGTTGAGTTTTGCGTGCTGTACACTTCCCATGCGGTTGACATAGGCAACAGCAGTCGTGTTATCGCACTTTATTAGGATATTGCAGTTTTCTAAACCCTTGGCGAAACATTTCAAACCTAAGAATATTGCAAGCAACTCCAGAAAGTTAATATGATTATCTTTCTCGGATTCTGTCCACCAGCCGTGCGTAGTCTCCCCGTTACAACAAGCGCCCCAACCGGAAAGGGATGAGTCTGTGAAGATTTCTAGTTGGAATGAGTCGTGCTTGATGTCGTTATTTGCTGAACTTATATTATTCAGCCACCATGACAGATCGACGCGTGATTGTAATGAAAGAGACATATTTGCGTTGTAATCCATGCGATGTTTCCTCAGAGCGATTAGTTTATCTCTTTCGAAAGACTTCGTGCATAGCCATCCGTATTTAATGGCTGGACATGCAGAGACTAAGAGACCCAAAAATTGGGCGAACTGTCGGATTCTGAATATCTTTTTCCTTTGAAAAATGTTGATCCACTTCAGGATCTTCTGTCTCTTTTCTCGTGTTACCTCGATCTTCATTGTCAAAGAATTGAACATGAATCCTAAGAATCTGCACGTTTGTGAGGGGGCCAGGGAACTTTTATCAAGATTAATTACAAACCCGAGTGATTCCAATAACTGCACTGCGGTTTCGGTGTTCCGCTTACAGATGTCTGCTTTTTCGCCAAGGATTAGGAAGTCATCCAAATAATTGACACATAAAATGCCCTTCAACCGAAGGTTCTTTACTACAGGTTTGAGAATTTTGGTAAATGCATGTGGTGCAGAGCTTAGACCGAAGGGAATGCATGCAAACTCAAATAGATTTCCCTCAAATGTGAAGCGCAAATATTTGCGAAACTCCGGTGCTACGGAAATCAGAAAGTATGCGTCTTTCAAGTCAATTGACGTAAGGTAACAATTTCTTTGAATTAGTCTCAACACAGTACGTGTGTCCTCCATCTTGAAATGGGGAGCCTCCACAAAGGTGTTGAGATTTTTTAGATTCAGAATGAAGCGCTTCTTACCATTGGACTTATCAGTTAGAAAAATCCTGGATATAAATTGATCACTCTGTGGAGAGCATGTCACAATTGCTCCTTTTAGCCGTAGGCTCGCTATTTCGGCGTTTAGGAGATGTTTTTCGGCAAGAGAAAAAGAATGTCTGGGTACGTTTCTTTGTATGGGAACACTATTGAGTGGTATTCTGTAACCCATAATCCATTGCAGGATTGTTTTATTTTGGGTGATGGTTGTCCACTTTTCATAAAACTTTGCGAGTCTACCTGAAAAAGGATTATTATTATAACTTACCTTATTTATTTTCTCCTCTTGTATCTGTCTTTCGGATTCAGTTCGTACGAGGTGGTGCCCCTCTGGTGCCCTGTCTCCCTCGATCGACGGGCTGGGCGATTCTTGTTTAAAGACACGTAGTGGGAGCTATTCCTTGCTTGCCCTCCCCCCTTTTTTCCTGGCCTATAATACTGCTTAGGTGTTGTAGATACCCTATATGTCGATGAAGGCTGAGCTGATTTAATATCTTTGCTTGTCGACTGTATTGACTTTGCTGCCTTAATAACATCGCTAAGATCAGATCCGAATAGCAGGTCCGTAGGGGGACGGTTTTGTAACAATTCTTTAGTATTTTTGTTCATATAAGGATAGGCGAACATGCGTCGTGCCATTGTTAAATCGTGGAATAAACTAGCCAGGATGCGCCCTGAGTCCGATAGGCTAGGTAAAAGTGTATCTTTATAAACACTGGGCATGGATTCTGCGCACGACAGAATGCTATCAATTCCTTTTCCCAGTGCCAAAATGCCCGCTCCGAGCTTTGATTGGAACATTACGTAAGCACTGTCTTTCTTTTGCATGTTGGCCGGAAGAATATTTTGTGTTTCCGGATTCATTATCGGAGGAGCAAGCAACGGTAAATTGGACGGTGGCTTGTAATTCTGGGCCATGGAGTTATATTCTACCTCTGACAATCCCTGCGAGATGATCTTAGACCATCGAGCGGCTAAAGCTGAATGAATTTTGAGATTATCAGTCTTGTTTTCGTTTGATTCTACTCCTAAAATGTCCAATATATCGTCCGGTAGCTCCACATCGTTGTCTACGATCAGCACGTCCTGTTCGTGCGATGTTAATATGGTGCTTAGACCATTGGCGGTGGTTGGCGAGTCGCTAGGAGCTCGCGCTTCACCGTTTTTTGAGCGGGAGAGAGCCGAAGGAGAGGTGCTTGGACCATCGGCGGTAATTGGCGAGACGCTCCGGTCTCGCGCTATACCATTCCCTAAATCAGGGAAATTCGAGAGTGAACGGCAACCCCGCCGAGGCGAGTCGTCTGACCGTCGGCGGGAAGATGGCAACGCCGAGCGCGCTGGAGATGGAGAGAGAGATGAATGCGAGCGGTTACCGGCTGAGCGGTGACGCAATCGACTGCCACGCCGGCGCGGTGATCGCGATCGCCGGCCATGGCGATCCTTTTTATATTTCTTATAAAACCGTTCTAATTTCTTAAGTCGCTTTCGGCTCTCCATATCCGAGTCTGAACTGCTGCTAGACGATTCTCTGCTGCGCTTCTGTCGTTTCTGCTTCCCCATATCTAGTTATATAAACGAGGGATAGAAGTAAACCAGTAAATGATTATTTTACTTACGCTACTTACGTCCTGAAGGTACGGTTAGCTGTCGGTGTTGATGCGAGCTGGTCGAGCACAAGAAGGCGAATGACTGTAGAAGGGGAAAGCTGCGGCATATACAGGAACACGGGCGTAGCAGAGGGGGATTTTGCTTTAAAAACCTTGTGGCTGGTAGCACGACAGGGCGGACTACGTGGTGAAATAATAAACATCTTTGGACTGGACGCCGAAGTATAATCTCTATGAAGGAGATATCTTGGTCAAATCGTTCTCCATGCTCATCTGGTATTGCTCCTAAGTTTTTAGGAACTAAGTCCAAATAAGAATGGAGAAAGTGAAGTTTTAGTAACATGTTCCATTCTAAAATACGGTAGGCCGTAAGTAGTTCTTCCACGAGTTCGGGACAATTTTCCGATTTATTATTTCCAAGAAAATTGTTTCAAACCCTTTTGAATGCATTCCATGCCCGACTTTTATTTGCCTGAAGTTCGCATCTTTGAACAACAGCTTAATTTGGGGCCAACAAAAATTCCATCTTTAATTTTGGCCTCACTTATACGTATACATGAAAATTTGTATTTTAGAGACTTGAAAGCATTTCCTTCTTTTTATCCAGTGATTTAACAAAATTTTTGATTAGACCTAGCTTAGTGTTGAGTGAATGTAAATATATTTTGTCTTTCGGAATTAATGGTTTTGTCAAATTTTTAACGGCAACTTCTATTGTTTCACGTGGAAGCCAAACATCAATTTTATGTTTGTCATTTGCACCGCTGGCCCACTCACACAAAAATCAACAGTATTTTGTATATCCTGATTGTAGTCCTGTCAATAACGCCACCACTTTTAAATCTGCACATTGTTCCATTTGTGATCTTCGTACTTTATACATCTGAGTAACATCTCTTTCATATTTACCGAATGATCTATAGGAATCGATGGTTGGTCATTTCCAAAAAGTAAAACCGTTTTTATACTTATTTTATGAATAGTCTCCATTTATCGGGCGCGGTGTGTTCAGTTCGGTCATTAGACCAGGTATGTCATAGCAAAATACTACACCTTCCACTGCAAAAAAAAAGTGAGTAGATTGCATTTTCCTGTAGATGAACACCTTAACTCATTTTTCCAAGAGGTTCTACTTTCCACTGCTGTAGGCGGGAAGTTCCGCTTTTGTTTTCGGGAGGTCCAAGCCACGACCAAGGTCTTTTCAATTCACCTTGAGTGATTAAATGGGATATATCAGGTAAATCATGAAAACTAGGGATGTAGCTTGGTCATGCTTCTGGTGAAGTACTTCCTGAGTCTGATTCCGAATCAAGCGTGTAACTCTCAGGTGGTAGAGAAATGGGTAATGATTTGTCATGGTTGCAATGCAGAGGGAATATTGGAGTACTGAATGCTAGGCTTGGTTTTGCTACTAATTCCTTTAATACTCGTCATGCAAAAATAAAAATCATCTACGTGATTTTTCTCTCCAAACTATTGGACTTGCGAATGGCATAGATTTATGAGGCACGTAGATCTAAGGGAAAATATGAATAGAAGTTTACAAAATGATTATAAAGTCAGGACTAAAGGGATATTTCAAGCATGGATCTAACTACCTGTAGATAATAATGGGACGCCCGTTTATTACCTGTCTACTCGACCCTTCTTAGAAATCTGAGGCTATCATAAACATTTGGGGTTCACTTGTACTGGGTGTCGCGCACAGGTAGAACGGTTTTTAAAAAATCACAAAATGGGTAATTTTTACTTAAAAACAAATTTATTGACGGATTAACCAAACCTGGAAATAAGGCAACCACGGAAGGGATGGTGAATAACGTTCATCGTTGCTCTGGCTGTGTGGGCGGTCACCCCATCCTGTTGGTACCACACACGTCGGAATGCAACACGTCGTCGTCGTAATTCAGGTGAAAAGAAGTTGGTGATCATATCGACATAGCGCTCCGAGTTCACGGTAACAGCATTGCCATTACCGTCTTCGAAGAAGTAAGGGCCGATGATGCAAGTTTGCGATTTAGCGTACGAACCCGTCACTTTTGGAGCTGCTCTTTCTTGTAACTGTCGTGTGAGCTCCATCACTCAAGAACAAAATGAGGTTCTCATTTTGCTCGATAAGTGCTTCCATCTCACGTATGAAGTTCATTCGTTGTGCGTAATCTCCAGGCTGTAACTGTTGTACAATGGCCAATTTGTAGGGGTCAAAGTGGAATTCCACATGCAAAATACGCCTTACCGAACGATCACTGAGGCAAAGTTCAGCAGCATGTTGCCGAGCAGATCGGACCGGACTGCGAAGGAAAGCTTGTCGAACGCGTTCCACATTTTCAGTGGTTTGAACCGTTCGTGTAGCTCCTGGTGGTCTTTTGTTGATCAGTAAACCACGTGTGCGAAGTGATTGAACCCAACGAAGGATGGTGTTTCGAGAAGGAACAGCTCGATTCCGATGAATATTAAAATGGCAACGAAACTCACGCTGTACAGCGGTGATAGACTCATTATGTCGGACAAAGAAACTATCGTACGCGAAAACGCGTTACACAACCGTCCACTGCTCCATAATATCTGCTAATAAAAATGCTAGAAACGCCCAAGTCGAACGGCACTCCCCCCACCAGTCTCGCCCGAATAGGCCGAGAGTACTAGCCATTTCAAAAACCGTCCTTTGTACCGGACCCTGTATGTTAGTATAAGTCCAACTGTTACAAAACACCATCTATTCGGAAACGCATTATTTAGATGTTCATGAACTTCTCGTCTTAAATGTGGAGGAGCCCCATCATGTAGGAATCACATATTATGTCTCACAAAATAATAAAATCTAAATAAATTTCACCGGTCAGTCGAGGTGGAAAAAAGTAGGGTCCAATAAGCATCCACTTACCACGCCATCCCAAACATTTGATGAAAATCTATGTTGAAAATGAGTTGTTTTTACAACATGCGGATTTTCTACTGGCCAAACATGATTGTTGTGGAAATTGAGGACTTGCGGCCTCGCCTGTACACAAAATTATTTTCGTATAACCTTCATTTCTGACGAACTGTTCTAAAAGCCACTGGCAAAATGCAACTCTTCTAGGATGATCTTCAGGTTGTAACGCTTGTACCCGTTGATAATTATAAGAATAATATTGTTCTTGTCGTATTGTCTTCCACAGTTTACTATGAGAAACTTCAACTTGAGCCGCTATTGCTCTAGTACTCATTGTGGTTCTTTTAAATATCCTGTGTCACGATGGCTAATAACTAAATTTACAAACATCCGTGGGGCCGGATGATTTCTTAAAAGAAACCTTTACGCATACAAACTACATTCTGCGGCTGCATTTTGTTATGTGTTAGTATTATGTCCACTAGTTCATTGTGTTCGTAAACATGGGCCATTTTTTTGCACAAAATAATCATACAAATGAAAGTATAAGACTGATACAACTGATCGTACCAAAGACGATACAATAACACAAAAGGTTTGCCAAATTTAGATAAACGATAAAAGTAGTAATATAAAAAACTCTAAGATTTTACACAGCAGTGGCCGAGAATAACAAAAAATCTGTGATATAACCTTCTTATTTTTTTAATTTTTAATCTTTTACTATTTCTTTTATTATGCAACTTTTATATAGATGATTTTTGGTACATCACTCCTTTTTGTCAACTCCTACAAGCAGTTAAAATAAATGCCTCAACCTTATATCATAAAAATATTTAAGAAAGCACAAACAAAATCACAAAACACAACTACAAAGCTGTAATAAATAATCGCCAAATTGTTTCAAAAATTGTTCACCTTAACATTTTAGAGTTGCAAAATACGCGTCCTCGGTCCGCGCCACTTTTTATTTTGAGTGTTGGCCATGAGGGGTGGCAATATAATTTAATAATAAGCGTCTTTTTTATTCGTAATAACGATACAAAGGCGAGATTTAGATACTATATCTATTCTATCACCTAACCCCTTTAACAATGATGCAAGATGCATAAAGTTGAAAATGTACAATAACGACACACACATAAAGAAATCATAAGGTCAGTTAACACTCATTGGTTACAAAAGATTTCGCTGCTGATCAAGTAGAATTTCTTTAATTTTTTTCTTGAATTTAAAATATTTAGTTTCTTATTATATAATATGATCGCATTGTAAATATATGTGTTCTGAAATAGAGATGTTCTGTGGCGTGGGACTCAAAAAGTATCTACATCTAATATTAATACTATGCATATTACCTCTACGTAGGAATTCGGTTACTAAATATGACGGTGTTTTTGAACAAAAAAACCGTATTAGTCAGACTTAGGAGTTGGTAATTATACATTTTATCAATTTTTATCCAGTTGTGGTTTACAAATCTGCAACATGTATTCACAATAGTTTGAATACGATTTTTTATTATAATACCTTTTAAATTTATGTTTGTCATGTTTAGAAACTTAGAAAATTTGAATATCGTCGGTAAAAAAATGCATGCTGTAGGACTGTACTATGTTTCTAAATTTGAGATATATAATGAAAATAACAGGGATCCAAAGACAGATCCCTGTGGTACACCAGAACACATTGTTTGTGAGGTAGAATACTATTTTTGAAAAAAAAAATTCAAGACAGGTTTGAATAAACGAAACAGGTGTTTCCAGAAAATCTGTAATAACTGCATTCAGACACAAGAAGTGAATGATTAATTGTGTCAAATGCTTTAGTGAAGTCAATAAGTATAAGAGCTACTGCTTTATGGTTGTCAAGGCGCCATTGTTATATTGTCTGTTAAATCGCAGAGTGTCGAAACTGTATTATGACCTTTGCGGAAGCCAGGTACTATAAGTAGGCGCAGAGCTGTTCGTAAACAACGATTCCCAATACTTTTAAGAAAATAGGCAGTAAGCTGAGCGCTCTCAGTTGACCATAGTAGGATCAGAACACTTAGGATCTGATAAACTCACGAGAATTAAAGAATCTTTCTGAGATCACACTTTTTGCAGTTTAAAAGTATTTAGGGTTTTATAAAACTTTTTTAAATCTTGATTTTGAACAGCTTGTAAATAATTTCCTTTCCGCACGAATAGTAATGCACTGAAATATGTATGCTGTAGCCAAGAGGCAGCTGTATGACGTTTGAACTTTGACAAAGCTTCAGCTGTCTGCTTAAATACAAGTTTAATATTATCATCCAACCCACTACTTTTTATTGTACAGTGAACATTAAATAAACATAAAAAAAACATTAAAAAGTTATTTTTACCTTCAATGCCATCTATAGTCATGATATGCCACATGGAAAGTTCTTGAAATCCTGACTCTCACAAATTTCTGTTGATTTTTAGGAAGTGTAATACATATATCACAGAAGGTTAAATAGTGATCAGTAATCATATCAGCATTCATGGTGCTACTCGTAAGATAACTTTCAGGCTTATGTATGTTTTCCTATAAAATGTCACCTATGAACTAGTTGACATTCACTCCATGCTCACTTGCATTAGGGACAGAGTTTTTATTTTACCCTGCCGGATAGGTGGAAACAAGACAACTAGCGTTTTTTTAGAAGACTGCATCAGGAGGAAACTCATGTATTTCTTATGTGGACAAAAACTTATTCGTAGCTAACTTTTTTCTCAGAAGTGCTAACTTGTGCCGAACAGAATCCTTTATGAACTGATGGCAGCGTTGCGTGGGAAGAACGGAGTCAATCTACTCGACGTCATTTCTTTCACCCGCACTTATTTTACGTTTTCATCTTAGAAAATTTCACGTGAGGCACAACCAAAAAATACACTCTCTGATCCAATGCTGTTTGAAGCCGTATGAAACTGATGTTGCATATTATGTAATTCGTAGATATTTTCTAATAATCCTAATCGAAAGAATTTTTTTGAAAGGGCATCGTATTTCCTGCAAGGATCTCTCTAATGTTTATTTATATCACAAGAAATTGCACGCTTATAGTGGGAATCAAGCCCATTTTTTGCCATTTGCAAAAAACAAGTATCATCATATCATCAAGATATTTGAAGTAGGTCTTTTCACAGAAATTTATCAATATTAGAGACCGTTTGAAAAATATTTAATAGCGTCAGATTCACCACACGAAAATGACGTATTAAGGGAATAAATGGTGAAGCTTACCACACATAGATCTTCTTGCATACGGTTCATTAGGTGGGTGTATTGCTTTTTCATGCTTCTTTCTATTAGATATGTTACTGAATAGCTTATCACAATATCTGCACCTCTTGTCGTTGTCATTCACATATAGATCTATAAAGCCAAAATAGAATGTCTTAATAATAATAGTTGATTTTGACGTTATCAGGCAAAATGTGCTTACATATAGTCAGTTTTACAGTGGGTAGAAGAAATCTCAGAATAACGTAGAAAATAAATGACAAACACCAGTCACACATACAAAACATAGAGACAAGATTGACAACGGTCGTCATTCATTCCGAAATAAACTGAAAAATTGATAGTTACGCTACTCTATAAATAGGGATATTTCGAAACCAATATACTTACTGGTCGAACTACCACCATTTTGTATTCCGGTTTCCATATGTTCATGCTCGGGCATCTGAGGTGACAGTGCTGGAGGGAATTCATTATACTCTCCGTTCATAGAATCATCTAAGTCTTCTGGTTCTGATTTGATGTGGATGTTGCTAGACGAATTTTCATCATTTTCGAGGGGTTCTTCCTTTATTTGGATACTCTGAAAAAAGTTGCGGCAAGTAAGATAACTCTGCACTTCCCACACAACGCTGCGATCAGTTCACAAGGGATACGAGTATGTGTATAACAAAAAAATGTAAGTTGCTGTGACTATAACTTGGGTACTTTACAATCCAGCACGGTAGCTTCCAAATGATCAAATATCGGTCAGACCTCAAAGCAGATATTATGTGCGTTCATTCAGTTGCGTGGGACGTGTGAAATGCAAATATTTCTCTGTCATTCTTCAAGTTTGAAGAACAAATGTTCGGGGAATTATATGATGTAAGAAATGTGTGTCTTAGATGCGTAGAATGACTGGGGTTGGAAGCGTATAAATAAGTATACGAGCGCTAAAAAAATGACATCAAGTAGGTTGAGCCTGCACATCTTACCCGACGCCGTCACCTGTTCATAAAGGATTACTTCCAGCGCAATTTAAATCTTCCGAGGAAAAAGTCAGTTACGAACATGTACAGCAAAGAAATTGACTAGATTAAGTCATTCAAACAAGCCTATACAATTAGTCTACAGACATTTTTCTCTGCACCATAGGAAGATACTTTCTATCTGGCAACGTTATCCGTTTCCATATCTGCGTGGCATCGCTGCAGCGTGTTATCGTTCATTTTGTACGTGGTCCGTGTATGTTTTTGCGGATAGTCAGCCGGACCGGTTCGCCGGGCGGTGAGCTTAGATAGAAGGAGTACGCAGATTCAAAACCGTTTATCTATCATTCTAAGTTTTAAAGGCAAATGTACAGGGAAATATATGATGTGTAAAATATGGCTGCAATTGCCGGGGTTGGGACTGTATAATTATGCTGAGGTAAAACATTTTTCTTATAGCCTCCCCCACCCCTTACAACCTCAAACCCCCAATTCAACCCCTACAAAAACATTCTAAATACGATGAGGTTTCTGATACGTCAATAAACGAGGTTTAAGCGACTTTTATTTTTTTGTTTTTGGCAATTTTTCTCCGCGGCCACTGGACCGACACCCAAAAACTACAAAGATTTCTTGTCCTTTTTTTTATATACTCCAACTACCACGAAGGCCTAAGGCCTAAACACCCATTGGGTACCGTGGGGCTATAGGGGGATACATGGAAAAGGGGGGACGCCACACGGACTCTGGCCAGGGAACACGTGTGCATGCAACATGCACACATTGTGGCTCCGCCTACGAGAACCGCCGGGTGGTACCTCCGCGTTCGACAGTCAGAGACCATCTGCCACCTACGGACAATCACAACATCCATAGCCAAGAGAAAAATTTCTCCTGGGACGGGACTCGAACCCGCACAGCGCACGGCGACTGATCAGGAAACCGAAGAGTCTACTACTGCGGCCACCGCTGCTGCCTATCCTATCCTATCCTTAGCATAGTAGCAATTTTGTGTGAAAATTTCATCAAAATCCGAGCGGCACTTCTCAAGTTATAGACGGGCTAAGGATTAACGGACAGAGACAGACCGACGGAAGTGAATGACGATATCTCATTTTCGAAATTTTCGCTATTTCAATACTTCCTCGCCCAGTGGCGTATTAAGTATAATTGAGATATATCCCTCCCACCTCCTAGAACCCCCAATCCCAAATGTTAAATCTTTACAAAAAAATTAGCGAAAATCACCAGCAGCTCCCGAAACGTGGAAAAACAAAGTTTGAGCGACATTTCATTTTTTTTACACTAGTTCTGTTGCCACTGGATCGATTTTCAAAAGCTACAAAGCATTTTCGTCATTGACATAGCAGTAACTTGGGATAAAAATACTGGCGGAAATGAATGACATGGTTTTTCATGATGTACTCGTACATCTCGTATAACGTCCAAAAAACATACATTGTTCAATTAAACTATTGTGAGTGAGATTGCCTTCATAATATACTAACATACATACAATCTTCAATTTCAAATTTCACTAACCTCGACACATTTTCAAACTAGACAATTTTTTTGACAAGCCACCTTCGGGCAAAAAAGCTGGACAGATAGATACCTTTTGTCAGCCTTTCCTGCCTGAAGTGTGATATTTTCCTGAAAAGTTGATCGGGTTGACGATTGAAATTTGAATTTCTCAAGAGAGGCGATTCATGTAAAATTAGATACTTAATATAATAATTCTCTTTTTTCCTCTATATATTCCCAATTTCTAAGCCATTATAGTGTGATTTCATGCATGAACATTTTTGTAAGTATTGGCTATGATGTTAGTACTACATGTAAAAAAATATCCTAATCCACTCTGAATGTACATTTTTCTGATTTGAAAGCACAACTCCAACACCCTGAATATCAGTAAGGGGGTATTTTAGAGACCTTGTTTACAGGAACTTTTCATGTTATTTTTTAATCTACTTTAGATATGTTCTATATATATTGCCATGCTTTCCTAAATCACCCTTTACAAGCATTGGATAGTAGGTAGACATTCTTCAACACATTACGATGTTTACGAACATGTGGATGAAAGTTAAAAAGTCTCTAAGTTCATACTTTTGAAGCTTACCATATTTGCAATGGATGCGGCGTTACTATGTTCATCTCTATCATTGACAAGAAACCTATGGAGGAAACGTCGTAGTTTGTTTTGGTTCTGCACGCATTTCTGTTTATATTCGTGCCATTTGTTTACTACTTGCTCGCACTCCTCGCATACCAGGGTTGTTAGTTGGTCTGAGGAATTTATCTGAAAATAAAATATTGGTTGATGGTATTTTTATATCAACTGTATGAATCATATTAAAACATAACATACGCCATCATCCCATCAGTACGAGTTTTACCTAAAAACTCCAAAGAGAAGGGAAGAAAGAAAAAGGCAGATGAGAAAGTAAGGCAGAGAAGAATAGGTTAGAAAATAACCTACCGGATAAAAGTAATTCACCAAATTTATTACACCCTTTTTTCCATTGTACTTTGTCACTACTTTTTTCCTTTACATTCGTGGCTACATTCACCAACTGGTTGAAATGACATCGAGATGAATTAACGAAAACAACCACAAAATAAGTATCTTTATACAGTTCACTTTTTGTTTCAAAATGTCGGCACATTTAGACAAAATGGCGTCGATTGAGTGCTTACTTCAGAGTCTTGGAATAATGGAAAACAATGGAAAAAGAAAGAAGAATTTTGTAATCACAAGTAAATAAGAATTTTTCAATGTTCCCAGACATGATCTATCCGGAAACCCATGCGCTTCTTGGCTTCCAATACATTGCGATATAAATATAAAGTCCATCTACTCTACACCACTTTTCAGATGTACGCCCACCTCTGGACTATACCGACAATGACTTGAGGAGCGATCTGAAATGCTGAAACAGAAAGTCATTCAAGCTACGCCACTGCGTTCATGTAGGGGAACATGATGTGAAGTAGAGAGAAGGCAGCAGGCAGTTGCAAGCAGTTGTGTGGCAGATGGCCAGGCCAGGTCAGCCAACAGCCAACGATTTAGCCAGGCATAAGCTCTCACAATATCCACGGCATTCTACGATTGCCACACGGTTTATCTTCGAACGTTCAGCGCAAACGCTGTACATGCTTACAGAGTGAAGGCAAGGCTGTTTGGTTGGGTTCGCCTGGCTGGCTGAAACGTTGAACTGGATTTCCGTTTCACCACACATTGAAGACATTCAACTGCACTCCCATTATCGTCAGGTATCGCGTATTGCATGGAAAAATGCGTTTACGTTTCTTTCAGATGGTGTTCCCTTTTCGTCTAGCTATTTCATTTCAGATATGGTCAATCAAAACGACCATCTTTCCATTATTTCATGTGTTTATAAGGAACATGGTAAATCACAATAAGCATAGACATATTTATATGTAGATAAAATCCCTGGGTGGGCAGAAAATATGCCACAGAAATGTAATACGGAAAAACATTTTCAAAAAGAGATAAAATATGTATGTATGACGCAGGACGACTAAATTAAAATGTAAACACAAGCCTTTCAAAACATTAATCAAGAACTCTTGTTGTAGAACAAAATATAACAAGTTGTAGATGAGAACAAGTATACAAGTTTATTTAATTTCAATTTTCCATGATATAAAATATACGGTGAGGTTCAAATTCAGCTGACGTCGTAATGTGTATGAGAGAGAAGCGTGCAATGTGTTAGACAAAGTGCGCTGATGGCATTCGTGACCTCGTACTCGGGTTGCTAGGCAACAAGGGTGCGTTTATCTCTTTCAAAACACAGACTTCACGCTTCTCGCGCTTCTTCTCATACACATTACGACTTCAGTGGTCTTTGGCTTTCAGTGTTGATATTTTCTAATTATGATCTTGTATACACCAAGTATCAATGCCTATAGGAATTGGAAAAGGTCTACTGAGAAGCTTATATGAAAACGTATACAACGGAAAGTAAATCCTAAAAGTAAAGGTATAAACGGAAATTATTCAGTATGAGCAACACTCCAGCTGATAACGCAACCATTATCCGTTATCAGTGTCTCCGATGTTTGGAATTCAATGTCCTACGTCCCCAGTAATGTGACGCTATACAGAAAGGTCAAAGTATTGACCGTGAATCTCTACTGAGATTGAGAGTTACTGTGCGTTTGATAATACGTAAAACTTCAGATTTATTGAAGAAGCTTTTGATCTATTTATTTATTCAAAACATATGCAAATAGCAAATATGAATTACCGTGGAAAAAGCACATTCTGAAAAGGGTAAAGGAATATCGAGTAATCTGATCCGGGGTCTGACCATCTCAATAAAGAATAACAGAATATTTGTATAATAATTTGGAAAACACAAGTGATCAACCCAACATTAAAATCTGTTAAACAGGTGATTTTGAAGAAGGACGTGTTTAAAGAGATTATAGGTATTATAGATTTGCTGCATCTACCTGGCTTCTAACGACTTTAAACAAAATCAAGGTCACTGCGAAAACTGACACTCGTACAGATACCTGGGCTGCTTTCGTAAATTGTTTTCAGAGTGTACTCTGTACTACTGTGTAACAATTTTAACGTTCTTAATTGCTTGACGTACCTGCCTATTCCATGCGTTTGGAATTAGAACAAAGTAATACTTCTGGAATGTCAAAAGTGCGCTTTTTATCCCGTGCTTAAAACTTTGGGAATAATAAGTGTTATCACTTGTCATTTTCATGGTTAATTGCCTCTTTTCTTTATTTGGTTATTAAGAGATCAAAATTGGCAGAATATACAGAGTGTCCAAGATAAGGATTCTATACATGGGAATCTCAATACCTGTGGAAGATACAGCCGATAAATTAAGAAAAAGTTTCGTCGCTTACTGAGGTAAACTTTTCCATTTACTGAATAAATGTATGTTGATAAATTTTCCGAAAGAAGGCAGCCAAGTAAGTCCGTTTTTTAGAGTTTTTTTTTATACTCCAACTACCACGAAGGCCTAAGGCCTAAACACCCATTGGGTGCCGTGAGGCTATGGGGGATACAGGGGAAAGGGGGGACGCCACACGGACTCTGGCGAGGGAACACGTGTGCATGCAACATGCACACATTCTGGCTCCGCCTACGAGATCCGCCGGGTGGTACCTCCGCGTTCGACAGTCAGACCGTCTACCACCTACGGAGAATCACAACATCCATAGCCAAGAGAAAAATTTCCTCCTGGGACGGGATTCGAACCCGCACAGCGCACGGCGACTGATCAGGAGACCGAAGAGTCTACTACTGCGGCCACCGCTGCTGCCCAAAATTGGCTGGAAATTTAAATGAAACTATGAATCAGAATAGTGTTTTACAAGCAGTTGCTGAACCAATTTGTTTTTTAATTCAGGATTTGCGAAGGACTTAGACCAGGAGATAGCGAATGGCGCCAGGTCCTTACGAACGTGTGATAATTTTAGTTTCCCTTCAAAAATAATACGGTCCGAAGAGAGTGTGGTTACTCATAATGGTACATTTTAATCGCCGCTCATTATTGGGCTCAAGAAAATCCGCGAACTAACAAGTATCCAGACATCAAACACGTTTTGGGTTTAATATGTGGTGTTTAATTCTAGGGACCAAACTATTAGGTCCATTTATTTACGACAACTCATTAACTGCAGACCGGTACTTTCAATTGTTGCAACATGAAAACTGCCTGGATAATTTACCTTTGGCATATGTTAACAGCTGTTGGTTTCAACAAGACGGTGCTAGTGCACATAACTCTTCAAAATATTTCACATCGATTTCCCGGAAGCTGGATTGAAACCTCCAGTATAGTATCCTGGCCAGCGCATGCCCCGGACGTAACTGCTCTGGGCTTCTTTGTTTGGGGATTTATTAACAGCCAAGTCTATCAGCATACCTTTGCAACTAAGCAGCAGTTACGAGAATGTGTAATAGAAGCATTTAGTATGATTACCATAGAATTTTTACGTGATGCATTCTACCGTTAGAAGATCATATTCACGTTCAGAAAATAATGGCAACCTATTTGAACAGCTATGATGAATAAAATAAAAATATGTTAAAAATGTGTTCGTTATTCTGAATATCACTAGAATAAGCATCATTTTATTAAAACTAGCCCATCATATTATGTAAGGGCTAAGAAGTACTTTTCTCCGCATGACCTTCTCACTCTATACAAGGCCCAGATAAGGCCTAGCCTCGAGTATTGCTCACACATTTGGGGTGCTGCCGCCCCGACTACATTGTCCATGCTCGATGCTGTCCAGAGGAGGGCGGTCCGACTGATCGATGACTCTTCTCTAAGAGACAGTCTCGGGACTCTTTCGCACCGGCGGGTCGTCGGCGATCTAGCTCTTTTCTATCGCTACACCAACGGGCTTTGCTCCTCAGAACTCTCTTCCATGCTGCCGCCGCGCGATGTGCCTGCCAGACAGACCCGCCTGACTTCGGCGGCCCATCCTAACCGTGTCAAACTTCGTACATCCAGAACTGGCCGATACGACCGCTCCTTTGTCCCGAGGGTGTCTAGATTGTGGAACAATCTACGGGGGGAAGCTTTTCCCAGTTCTACCAACCTTAGGCAGTTCAAAAATCGTATTAACAAATTTCTTTGGGATCATCATAGCAGCCGCGGTGTTCCGGCATTTAGGCTTCTGCCTGCGCGGCTGTTTCGATATAAAAAAAAATATGAGTCTATCAGTGACCACATAATCTTACCACAGCTCAGATAACAATCAGTTATGAAACTCTTCTATTACTGACAAAAAAGTCCGCCTTTTCGGCGAAGAAAATTTCATGTAAATTCCCCTAGTACAACTATGAAAAAAGTTTTAGTGCTCAGCAGCAGCCAGTGTTGCCGCGTACCCCCCAGCGGCCGCAGATATTCTTTGCAATTGTAAAATGGTAATATTTATGATAACCCAGTGTAGTTTGTGTGAATAAATAATGAAAAGGAGTATGTTTGTTCAAAGAAAGAGCGAAGGAGCTTTAATTACTATTTATTTATAAAAAAGGTTCACATTCGTGAATGGATTATGATTATGGATTGTGATTATGATTATGATTATGGATTATGATTATGGATTATGATTATGGATTATGATTATGGATTATGATTACGGATTATGATAATGGATTATGATTATGGATTATGATTATGGATTATGATTATGGATTATGATTATGGATTATGATTATGGTATTATGATTATGATTATGGATTATATGGATTATAATTATGGATTATGATTATGGATTATATATGGATTATG